CTCTTGCGTAAAAGTGTCACGAAAGCACTAACTCTCCAATTTTTGGTGGCTGGAAATGCATAAGAACGTCTGCTTTGAGGTCGTCGTAAAGGATCTCCACCACCTTTTTGCCGCTCTTTTTGTCACAGCTAGGCGCAACCTCTCGTAAATTGCATCATCGTGTGTATATTCTAATAGATTCTGCCTTTCATGAAAACGTCGTAGTCTACGTTGCCGTCTGGCGGTACAGTTAGCAAGAAAGGTAGCCGCCATATTGGATACAAAGACAAACGACAGACAACGATAACTAAGCAACCTTTTTATTTCACTCATTACGCATGCGTACGATGAAACTCTAGAGTTAGCGACTGGTCTGACCAGCCGTTAAATATCCAAGGCAACAACGAGACAATAACGAGCGAAAGAACTAGCGACTGCTTCATGAAACGGCACTCTAACTAGCGAGAGGCTAACTACCGATCGCTAACTAACTACTGCTTTGTGAAACCGGCCCCTGAGTGTCAGAGCAACGTAAAAGCTAGCTTGCTAAATATACCTTGTGGTGGAGTCGCTTTTACTAACTCTGAAGACCAGTGGCCATGAAAGTTTTCCATCAATCAAATAGAACTGCTCCGCAGTGAAAATACAGTTGAATGTCATCAGACCAAAATAAAACGTAAAACAAATTTAATTCTGCTTTATTTAATTTTATTTGCTGTATTTAAGGTGTAAAGTGAAAAAATAATATTCTTTGGAAAGAAAAGATATATCCAATGTTTTTGTATTTTTTGCTTATCAAAGAACATTTAGTCCTGAGATATACATGTGCTTGCCGTGTGCCAAATTTGACAGCTACACTGTATGCCCAATACCACTATAAGGGCTGCGCAATGGCTACACGAAAATAAGTTTTTACAGCAGAATGTTGCTTGTGTTGTGGCACTGACCTTCGACTGCAAGATATTTTCAATTCAAACTTCTAACTCCGCGTCAGGCACTTTAATTGCTTCTTTTCTCGCCTGCACGAGACTTCAGCGCAAGGCGGGAAAGGCAGCTCCAGGCGGTCAAACCTGTGACGTACCAGACTTATGACTTCCAAATATGGATCCAGGCGGACACAGCTGTGACGTGTGACTTCCAAATATGGAAGCGCCCCAGGCAGAATTTTGAAGAAGAACGCCCCCGAGTTGCCACTGTTCGCTAGAGCCTGGTATTGCTACTATGGGTTATATATGAAATCAAGATCGAGCTGGCAATACCGGAATCTAGAACCTAGGGTATTAATAGTCTGTATGTAGAAAAATAAAAAAGTGTAAGAAAAGCTCAAATTTCTCTGCACATTAATTGCCATTGAATGATGATGACCATTAAATTGAGTATTCCTCATTATCAGGCAGTAATGGTGAAAGTGACCCCCACCTGCTGTCCAGCCCTCAACGATCTAAAATATTCGGACAGCGCGGAGCTGTGGACTTCTTCATCATCAAAACTGCAGCAAGTCTTGGGGAAGTTAAGAAAATAAGACTGTGGCATGATAATTCAGGGAGTGACCCAGCATGGTGAGTTTTAAACATGGCACTTTTTCAATTCTGAACATTGTCAGACAGTAGTTTTTATGGAGGGAGGAACATTATGAGACCTAAAAATATTGATCTTGTTTGAATTTTAGGCCCAGGAGTTGCCACAGAGCTGTCATGTTTGAAATAACAATATTTTTGATAATTAATATATATATATATATATATATATATATATATATATATATATATATATATATATATATATATATATGTTAATTTATTTATTTATTGATCAATTGTTGATTGATTTGCTTATGGCTTTGCTTAAGGTTTCTGAGAAGAGCTTTTTTGAATCTGTAAGTTTTATTTTTCTTCTTTTTAGGCATCGTCTTTTGTGAAGTACAACATTTATCTCAGTATTTTTTGTTTTCAGGTTTTTGAGCAGAGTTGTCATCCATGATTTGAAGGCAGATCAGAAGTTTTATTTTATCTGTCACAGCTGGCTGGCTGTGGATCTAGGAGACGGCCAGGTCGACCAGGTTTTCAGCAATGCCACCGACGACGACATCAGAAATTTCACACATCTCTTTATAAGTAAGACAAAGATGTAAGTATTAATTGAATGCTTTACCTCAGTTGATGAATTTCAAGTGAAACTGGGTTTTTAAATTTCAAAATACTTGGTTTATCTTACAGTTTTGACCATTTTTAGCATCTGTTTATATTCCTATATTTCATTCCACATTTATTTTTGACCAATTTTAACATCTCTGTATAATCCTACATAAAAACAAAACTGATGTAATACTATATGCAATCTGTTGGTCATTTTCAGTGGTCTGACAGATGGTCATCTTTGGTTCTCCATCTTTGCGCGACCCACAATCAGTCATTTCACCTGTGTTCANATTGGTGGACCTATCTCTGCCTATTGAAGTTGAATAGGAAGTCATATACTGGCAATTTACTGTGACCTTGGAATTGACCTTTGACCTACCTTACGATGAACTTTACTTTGATTGTACCATTTTTAGTAATATATATATTTTTTGCATATTTTGAAAATTCTTGTTGATTGCATTTTTACAGCTTGTCAAGCACAAGACTGGTGGCTGTGTTCCTTATTTTGTATATGTGGGGGTCTATACGAATGCGCTTGCTCCAGCTGGTGGTACAATATTCGGAGGCGGTATCGCCTCTCTGTTCCTCTAGTTTAGTAATGTTGTTTTATTCCAGTATGATAGTGTCAGGACTGTCCAATGTGATGACAGCTGCCACTCCACTGGTCAGCAGTGTCAATGGCTCTCAGGGTGACACAGGACCATCTGGCGACATTTCACAGGAAGATCTCGAATTGGTGAGAAAATATAAGTATTAGCTGCCTGTAGTATATCATGGTATTATATGTTTTGTTCTGTGTAGTGTACAATGTATCTAAGATACTGGTGCTGATATATAGTTTTCATAAGGTTTGACATACTAGTTTAATTACTCAAGTCAGCATTTGGTTAACAGTAGCACAAAAAGGCCATGTTTGCTCAAACAAAGAGGTCCAATTTTATTAAATACTCTGGATGGTGAAATATCATATTTCTGAACAGTAGTGAAAGTGAAAATGTTTTTATTTGTGTCCAGAGTAAGAATGTGACCATGGCAACTATGACGGCCCTGCAGGATGTCAAGTCGGCTGTCCTGAGGACTAAAGTGACCGGTGAGGAACCCACTGTGGTCAGTACAGATTCTCTGAGCATGGCACTCAGCAAGGAGACACCACAGGATCTTATGGGTAACTTAACTTTACACATAAGACTGGTCTGCAGAATTTAATATCATATTGATTCTTAAATCAGATTTTTTTTCTGCACTAAATGAAAAGTTTAATAGCTGAATTTGATATCCTGTGTTACTACATAAATAGAACTTCGTTGACTGACAAATATGAATTTATCTGAAGCTCATTATCAATGATTCAGTTTTGATTTATGTTAAACATCATTTATCAAATATGTGTTTTACTTAGGATTAGATTGACTTCATAGTTATGTTAACTGATTTTTGAGATTGTATCTTTATTTTAAGAGAATAATTAAAAATAAAATGAAAGATAAAAAGTTGAAAGAAATTATAAAAATTGGAAAAATTAAAAATGTACACAAGATTTAATGAAAGTATTCAGCAATCTGATATATGATGTTTATTTTTCATTATACCTGGTAGGAGGGACAGTTACAGATACAGGTTCATCCAGCATTGATGTGTCCTCTACCTCCAGAGTTGAATTCCCCCCTAGCCTACCCCTGAACACTAGCCTTATTGAGGAAGTGGACATTGAGGTGTCAGCTGATTTCTTCTTCTTAGATAGAGCATGTGCTTTGTTCTGTTTAAGTAAATGGAAAACATAGTTTTGTCTTGTGCATGTTCATGGTTTTATCTGCCCTCTTGGCTCCCTTCTTTTCCATTATTGAACACAATTACGAAGATTCGTCATTGATCTTGCATAGAAAATAAATAAATTATATTGGAATCACATCTATTAAGGTCAACTGTAATTGGTATAATCTTTGGACACACTTACAGCATGCACTAGCTAGTACAATCATCAGGAAAGAATTAAATGTGAATTAAATATTCAATTTAAAGAACATTTTTATTATTTCATATATGTTTTTTCTTGTCAGTTGGTGAAATTCAAGAGGAACCCTTTCACTTGGGCCAACAACAGCTACAAAGTGACGTCTTCCGTCTCTCAAATGGAACTCAAATCAGACGGCAGCACTCTAACCGTGGAGAACCTTGACCAGCCAATCAGCATCTTTGTGCCTGTAACAGGAGGTACAGCGCAACCAATCAACATGACTGTAACAAAAGATGGGCTAAGCATGGTGAACTTTGAGGTTACTGATGATGAGTCCACTGTGGTTCTGTATCTGGAGTTTGATAACAGTAGCTTTACTGATGTGGATAAGGAAGAGGAAGATGCTATGTTGATAGTGAGCCTGATGCAGAACTCAAGTCAGAGTGACTTAACTCAGAACACATCCAGCTGGGAAGTCTTGAAGGTGTTCCAAATCCCAATAAGGTTTGCATGTCATATTATATATAAATCTCCAAGATCCTTGTCCAATAGGCATAAATGGATCAAGTCATCTTATAATGTGGAATTTACCTTTCTTTGATTCAGTTATTTTATCATCTGTATAGGTTTGATCATAGAACCATGCCTCTGTCAAATTTTAACTTTGTTGTGGTTGGAGAATTTTAACAAAATCATAACTTAAAGTAAAACCAAGCAAATTACAAGAAAAATATACTGCAGCTCACTTTAATCTTTCCTCTATGCCTCCACATCAACTTTCTCCACAACGCACAACTTTCTCTGCTTACAGAAACTTCAGCTCAACCTCTGGGCATTACTTGCTGTCTGCCTCTGTGCCTCACCTCAACCTCTCCTCCTCCTCCTCCTCCTCCTCCTCCTCCTCCTCCTCCCTGTCTGCTGTCTTCTCCCTGAACTCTACCAGCCTCTCAGCTCTGCCTGTGCTACGCGTGTCTAACTTCCAGTCCTGCTGCTTGTACTGGGACCAGGCTGCTGAGCACTGGGAGGGTAATGGCTGCCAGGTAAACCAGGCTGATGTGAAGCAGTTATTCCTGTTGTTATATCTTTTTTTTTTTCAAAACTTGATGTACAAATGAATAATTATATATACTTGTGATTTTTTTCCAGCATTTTGTGTATAAGTTGCATAATTCTGACTTGCTCCTTTATTATCATTTTATTCTTTTCTAAGTACCCTTCAATATGGAGAGAAACCAACAAAATTTAAGTGACATTAAACGGGCATGTATATAAATATATATTACACAAAAAGTGTGTGTCAGGAAAGTAACTCAGTATTTTAAAAATTTTATTTATTTATTTATTTATTTATTTATTTATTTGTTTGTGTGTGTGTTTGTGAAATGACCCATGATATAAATTTAAAGAAAACTATTTACTTCACATAGGTGGGTCCCCTCACCAATCCCTCTCTGACTCACTGCCAGTGTTCTCACCTCACGCCGTTCGCCAGCGGCTGGCTCATCATGCCCAACACCTTCAACTTCCTGGAGACCGTCGCCAAGTTTGCCCAGCTGTCCGAGAACCCCGTGGTCACCATATTTGTCGCCAGCATCCTTGGTGTCTATCTCCTTCTGCTGCTCTGGGCGCGGAGGATTGATAGAAACAACAAGGAGAAGGTTAGTGATAGCAGTCTTTGGGGTTAACAATGGCCTTGATTTAGATTGTAACAAGGCATAGTCCAATGTGCATCTGTACTTATGGCGGCCTACAAATATTTTTACTTGTGGACTCTCAAATAATCAAATGCCTAATGGCTTGTTTTCAAGTTGAGCTTTTAAAGTGAATTTGTTTCATTTCAAGAAGTCTGTGTGGTCTTGTATCTCTGAATTGACAAATGGCTGTACATGTCATGTTTTTATGCCATTTTGTACATCTTTGATGCTTGATTTATTTGTAACGTGATAGTTGATTTTATCTTCAGGCCATGGTGATCAGTCTTCCAGACAATGACCCCCTAGCAACCTATACCTACACAGTCAGTGTGTTCACTGGGAGTAGAAGAGGATCTGGAACTTCAGCCAATATCACTATTACTCTCATAGGTAACGACTAGCTAGTACATGCACCCTGTAGTTAAATCCGCAAGCTAACAAAGGGATTATGAGGGCCAATGAAAGATTCTTATTTTTATTTTTTAATGTATCATTTTTTAAGCAAAAGTAAATAAAAATTCTGTGGACAGATTTCATTCTGCAGGTCCCCATATGGTCTTATAAAGGTGTTTGCCTGGATGCTGCAGTTCATGACATTTATCCCACTGATACACACAGAAAAAGAATACTTAACTTCATAGTATGACAATTTTTAGAAGCGTGCAGTGATCTGTCTGTGGCAGAATATTTTCTAAGGACATTGTGCACTCATTTAATAGTCTGTATGTAGTAAAATTAAAAAGTGTGTAAGAAAAGTTCAATTTTCTCTATACATTAATTGCCATTGAATGTTGATGACCAGTAAATTGAGCATTCCTCATTATCAGGCAGTAATGGTGAAAGTGACCCCCACCTGCTGTCCAGCCCTCAACGATCTAAAATATTTGGACAGCGTGGAGCTGTGGACTTCTTCATCATCAAAACTGCAGCAAGTCTTGGGGAAGTTAAGAAAATAAGACTGTGGCATGATAATTCAGGGAGTGACCCAGCATGGTGAGTTTTAAACATGGCACTTTTTCAATTCTGAACATTGTCAGACAGTTTTCATGGAGGGAGGAACATTATGAGACCTAAAAATATTGATCTTGTTTGAATTTTAGGCCCAGGAGTTGCAACAGAGCTGTCATGCTTGAAATAACATTGTTTTTAATAATTAATTTATTTATATATCTGTTAATTAATTTATTTATTGATCAATTGTTGATTGATTTGCTTATGGCTTTGCTTAAGGTTTCTGAGAAGAGCTTTCTTGAATCTGTAAGTTTTTTTTTTCTTCTTTTTAGGCATCGTCTTTTGTGAAATACAACATTTATCTCAGTATTTTTTGTTTTCAGGTTTTTGAGCAGAGTTGTCATCCATGATTTGAAGGCAGATCAGAAGTTTTATTTTATCTGTCACAGCTGGCTGGCTGTGGATCTAGGAGACGGCCAGGTCGACCAGGTTTTCAGCAATGCCACCGACGACGACATCAGAAATTTCACACATCTCTTTATAAGTAAGACAAAGATGTAAGTATTAATTGGATGCTTTACCTCAGTTGATGAATTTCAAGTGAAACTGGGTTTTTTAAATTTCAAAATACTTGGTTTATCTTACAGTTTTGACCATTTTTAGCATCTGTTTATATTCCTATATTTCATTCCACATTTATTTTTGACCAATTTTAACATCTCTGTATAATCCTACATAAAAACAAAACTGATGTAATACTATATGCAATCTGTTGGTCATTTTCAGTGGTCTGACAGATGGTCATCTTTGGTTCTCCATCTTTGCGCGACCCACCATCAGTCATTTCACCTGTGTCCAGCGCCTGTCCTGCTGCCTGTGCCTCCTGATGACCACCATGCTGACCAATATCATGTTCTACCAAGTGGACACTGGGCCCACAGAGAAAGCAGTGGACCTGGGCACTGTGAAGTTGACATGGTCGCAGTTCATCATAGGTATATTGTCAAGTCTTTGTAATTAAGTCTTTTACAGTTTAGGGACAGGTTTCTATTGATATAATTACGTACTGCAAATTTACTGGAAAAGCTGAAAAATTAGTGAAGAAACTTCATTAAAAATTTAGGTGAATGATTGGTTTTCAATGAAATTATACTTATTAAATTCCAACTTTTTCAATTTAACAATGATCTATGATAAGAAAGATAGATGTTCTATATGTTCGTATATGTTTGTATATCTCTCATCATACCAGGAGTGGAGTCTGCCCTGTTCATGTTTCCCATCAGCATCCTGATAGTGGAGCTGTTCCGCCTGTCCAAGGCCAAGCCGTCAGCTCTGGAGACATCCTGGAGTGACACCAATCTGGACCAACAAGATGACAGACACACTGAGAGCAATGTCAAGTATGGCAAACTTAAAAATATCTCCAGCATAGAGCTGGAATTCAAGTCTCCTGTAGAGAGCGCAGTGTCTCTACCAGCTGGAAGTGACGAAGGTGCTTTAAGGTCTGTGGTGTCAGATGCAAGTACTGGTTTCAAGTCTCCTATCCAGAGTGATCAGTCCGTGGTGCCCCCTGGTGTCCAGATGGAGCAGTCTGTGGTGCCCCCTGGTGGTAATTATGGCAGACCTGACACACCTCTCCACAGCTTTCCACTGCAGTCCTCTTCCACTTACCAGAGTATCGTCACCAATGCCTCCAGCCTGAGCATCACGGCCTTTAAATCACCATACCCTAGCACAGATGAGATGGGATGCACTTTGGACGGACACACTGTGGATGCCAGAAGCTTTAAGTCTGTCATTTCTGGAGGTCCGTCGTATGGAAAACTGGGCGACAGGCCTGCTACAGTGCAATTCCACCAGGAGGTTGAGATTATAGGAGGCGAGGGCTCACAGTTTCCTGAAGATGAAAGTGCCAATATAACACCCAGTGATAATGAAGTGAGGTCAGTAGAAGATGTGGACATTGAAATAGATCCAAACTGGGCAGGCAAAGGGAATAAAGGGAGTGGTTCCAAATATTTTGCTCAATTCAAAGATGAGGAAGGGGATCAGGGCACAGGTGGTGCTCCTGGTCAACATTTCCAAGACAGCCCAAAAGATCAAGAAGAAGAAGATGACATTTTACCCGAGTATGCCTTTGAGGCGGTCAGCCCAGACGGCATGCTGCCTTGGTGGTTTATCTACATAGGCTGGGCCTTTGTGGGTTTGACCACCCTAAGCTGTGGGTTCTTCACCATCCTGTATGGCTTGTCTTATGGGTTTCGCACATCCATATCGTGGGTGGTGTCCATGCTGACTTCATTTTTTACCAGCGTTCTGTTCATACAGCCCGTCAAAGTGATTGGGCTGGCCGTGTTCTTCAGCTTGGTCTTCAAGATGCCTGATGAGGCAGAAACTGTTATTGATCCCAAATTGGTGGATGCTCTGGAACATTTTGGCAAAGGTAACTGATTCAGGGGAAAGATAAAAAATTCAAGTTTATATTTGAACCATCTTGAGTATCAATATTGTTCTATTGATTTTTAATCTATCAGTTTTTTTTTCTTCTTTTATTTAAAACCAGGTACATGATAAAGGTTTATGCTTGTCTGATTTTACCTAAGGGATAAAAATGTTCTGCTGGTGTTCATTCAAATTTCCACAGCAGAAATTATGCAAAGGCTATTAAAGTTTGTAACAATTTTGAACAACAAACAAATTTTTGAATGGTTTGTTTTATTCCCATTTCATTTCATATCTGATCCACAGAGGACTCAGAAAAAATACAACAGATACAGTTACACTTGAACCAGTTGCGCTGTGACCCGCGTTACAAGCCACCTGCCCACAAAACCCTCAAGTCCGCCAAACAGCTGAGGTACCAGCAGAAGAGGATGTACGCCATCATCCGAGAAGTGATCGGCTACATCATCTACTGCTGGCTACTAATGCTGATGGCCTATGGACAGAGAGACCCACAAGTCTACTACCTCAACAAGTCCCTCACGGATCTGTTTGTGCCCAATTTTATGCAAGTATGGATCACACCGGAATAGGGATTTTTATCAAAGCAAATTAGTGCTTATTTTATTTACGAGTATTAATTTATTTGAACCATAATTTGTATTTCAGGTAGTTTAGTGTCTCCTTGATTTCTTTTAGATTAGAAGTGATTGAGCAAGATTGTAAGGTAACAGTGGGCGGATAGTTACCGGTATTAGGTATAATAGGGTGTCACATTTGTAATCATGTGCACAGCTCATTTATGTAAGATAATGGTGTAGATGAGCATTGTGACAGTAACTATTGATAACATTCTATATATAAGACACTAACAGTATTATCTATTTCCAGTAATGTTCTTCAATTCCTTGTTTCTTTAAGTAATTATTAATAGATATTAATTAATTATTGATTGTTTAGGTGAAGACATTTGATGATTTCTGGGTCTATGTCAAAGACACGGCTATAACTAACCTGTATGACCAGGAGGACCCGGGGTTCCTGACTACCAAGGCCGCTTATCTGGTGGGCTCTCCAAGGCTCTTGCAGATCAGAGTGAAAGGTGGTGAGTGGGATGCTGTACGTATGTCAGTATGTAAAAAAAAGTCTGTTGCCCACGTGTAGTCTGTGTAAGGTAACTGTTGTAACAGCTGTGTTGGTAACAGGTTGATCTGTGCAGTTTGCCAAAACGGGACTGAGATCAGTTGCTCATTGGAGTGTTAACTCCTGATCATCTGTTCTGATTCTGAATCGCACCATCATACTCACATGTGTATGTTATATCATCACTGTTCCAAGAACATCTTCTAGAGACACCGAAGAATGAAATGTTTACCTGCGTTAACACCTTTTGTCCTGAATTATGAATCATTTTTTCTGTGGACATCTGTGCATAATGTACGAATTTACTTAACGTTCACTAATAAGCACTAATTCTAAAACTGATATTCTGCAACGTCTTGTCACATTTTTAGGCACCTGCAAATCCCCCATTGGCGCCCTGGCACACATGATCTGTGCCTCCACTTATGGTCCAGACACAGCTGACAAGACGAGCTACAACCAGTCCTGGCAAGCTCCGCTGATGAATGGCAGCGTCAGCGCGGACAACTTGCCATGGGTGTACCAGACTCCGGCGGAGCTGCAGTACATGTGGCAGAGTGGGATCCTGGGCGAGTATGGCCACTGGGGAGGCTATGTGGCGGATTTGGGCAGAACTGTAGAGGGCGCCACTTCCCTGGTTCAGTCCCTTCAGGACGCCACTTGGTTGAATGAAGGGACGCGCATGGTGGTGCTGGAGTTTACGGCGTACAATGCAAACGTCAACCAGTTCACCATGATTTCCACCCTGGTTGAGGTTTCCGTTGGCGGGGGACTAGTGCTGACACCTACAGTCAGTAGCATGCGGCTGTACCGCTACCTACAGCAGTTTAATCTGTTCGTCATGGCCTGTGAAATCATATACTGCATCTACGTCCTCTACTTCATCGTGGCCGAGTGCATGGCGCTGAAGGAGCGCGGGTGGAGCTACTTCATAAGCGGCTGGACCTGGATCAGCATCAGTTTGATCAGCGTGTCGTTGGCGGGCATTGGAACCTACATTGCCAGGAGCATCGTGACGATTGCCGTCATGGAACGGTTCAAACGGGACCCGTCGGCTTTCGTCAACTTTGAGCAGACCGTCTTGCTGGACAAGGCCCTAGGGTACCTCATTGCTGTCTTGGTAATGTTGTCCTCCCTCAAATTTATATCTATACTACGGTTTAACCCGGTGGTGCACCTTCTTACGCAGACCTTCGCCAAGGCTGCCGGGCAGATACTCTGGGCCGTTGCTCTCGTGGTGGCTTATTTCATCGCCTACGCCTTCCTGTCCAACCTCATATTTGGGCGCCACCTGTATTACTTCAGAAACTTCCGAGTGAGCATGGAGTCCATGTTCGGTTTCATTCGCGGCGGTTACGATATCGAAGCGATGCAGGAGGTGCACTGGCTTGTGGCGCCGTTCATACTGATGTCGTTCGTGATCGTGGTTATCTACGTGTTCCTGGCGCTGTTCATTGCCATACTGACCAGCGAAATTGGGGTAGAGAGGCAGTACGGAGGCCCCCAGGAAGACGCGGATTTGATTCGACTTGGGATTGAGAAAGTCCGGGAACTTTTGGGACTGGGCAGGCAGAAAAAATAAACCTCAGCATTGGATTGATTCTATTTAATCTATTGATTTATTTATCTATATTTTAGCAAAAAAAAAAAAAAAAAAGGCAAGAATTGGTTTATTTTTTTTCGATATGGGTTTTTGGAGTCAATATCCAAGTACGAACACGATGATGATGATGAATCGGTCGTGGCCATTGAGTTCATTATCAAAAAAGGTCTGTAATGAAAATAGGGCAATCTGTGCCACAAACGTTGCAGTCTTCTAGTGCAGGCCTGAAGGGCTGCTAGAGTATAAGTCTGCTGCTCTAAAGCAAAACATGCTGGCCCAATTTTAAATGAGTAATTTTATAATTCCCGCCAAGGAGGTTTGACTTTGTCATTTTTGGTTAAATTGTTAGTCAGTTCTAACACAAAAAAGTTATTGATTAACCTTTTGTGATATAGATCTATCAGAAATGGATAAACTCAGAGTCGATTAGATATTGGTGGTGATCTGTTCATTGGTTAACTAATGATGAGGATCTGCGCTAGTTAAAGATGTTATAAGATCACATTTAACTAATGATGAGGATCTGCGCTAGTTAAAGATGTTATAAGATCACATTTATAAGCCAGTAAAAAAAAAATAAAAAAATAAAAAAACGTGCAGGTCAGCTTTCATGATTTTCGGTGCTGAACCAGTTAATGATAAACGGTGCTGACTAGTACGTTCAAAATGAGGGTAATTAAAGATCTGTGTATGTCAACAGATTTATTATACAAATAGTCTATTGGAAATTACTGGATCATTATTTTCTTGTTGATTATTACATAAATATAAAAGGAATTTGATCACTGTATACTGTGATATAGTTTAAAGAAATGGGCTTTTATATTTTGGGAGATATTATTCGCAGAAATAAGCTGTTGGACGTCTCCTGATATTTGTGTATAGAATATGATTGTGAATAGAAAGCGTTATGGCAATATACATTAAAATGTTAAGGATGACAGGGTTTATTTTGTGAACGTGTAAGACTGAAGTCGACTTTTAAAGTTGTACAAACCCATATTTAATTCTTTATAAGACCTTGTTAACACAGGATTTTCATCTTGTTAATCCATTTTTATCATGAATAAAATGTGTCATATTGATTTGAATATTGTTCTTTGTGACATTATGAAGTTTAGTAGGGGTAAAAAATTAGTTTTAAAACAATAACGGCGCTAATTCTACCTAAGCTTGACAAACAAAATACTTGGGCAACAAAAACGGTTATTGCAAACAGCTCCCTGGCAACAATCGATTGTGACTATGAGCCGAAGGCGGGCATTGACTTCTGTATACGTTGATCAGGCAAATTGGTTTCCTATGTACTCGGAAATCGTCTATAAAGTCCCCATTCAAAACGGTGCTCATTAGTCTACGTATCTTATATTCAAAGAATGAAAAACAATTTCTAAAAGTGGAACAGATAATTTTTTTAAAGAATAACATTTTTTAAGATATGAAAATCCAGAAGCATAAATGCTTCGGAACCCAGTGGTGATAAATCCAAATCAGTTTTCATTAGCGAGTCGATTTTCATTTTACCAATTTTCAAAATATACCGGCTTTCCGGCATATTCAACTTGTCTGTAGGATTTTCTAAGCATATTATTATTATAGATTTTGACCACTGATTTGTTGGAAATATCTAGGGCCTTGTTTAAGAAGCTCTGCTCTCCCCAAATTTATTCACAATCTCGTGTATATTGACATATTTTGATTCTGCCAATAGTTCTTGTTTTATTCTACTTTTGTTCTATTTGTCACATAAACGTTGGGAATTTTCACAATTAATTATTATACATTAGTATTTGTCTAATCTGTCAGGCTCTCACAGATAACGTCACAGGTGATTGAATTGTGACGTCAGTTCACCTTTGGGGCAGTATGAATCAAAAATAAATGTATACTATCCTTATTTACTCATATTGACCGTCCTGATCAATGCGTTTTTGTATTCAGATCTCGAAGTTACGTAATATCTTTCTTAAGTAGTATATAGCTAAAGACACAGGTACTTGGTCATCGACTCGACTGTTTCGAAAAACTGAATGACCAGCGTCTGGAGTTAATCCGACTATCCCACTCCTGATTTTGGCACCTTAAGAAGCCGATGAACTGCGATATTTACCTATTATCTAACCTTCAAAACAAACACAAGAAATCATGGTAGCTTCCCGGGATATTCTTAGCAGGTGTTTGGTCAGCGTATTGGTCATCGTCCTCTTCGACCATGCACAGGTTACTATATCAGCCTGGACGGCCAGACAGCCTGAACACTGTCACGCCTCTTCTCGACTGACCAATTCCACCCTGAGCCAGCACTTAGTACACGCCAGTTCAGAATGCCTTCTGAAATGTGCCGAGACTCCCTCGTGTAAAGCATTCAATCTCGAGGCCGGAACCGTCAGCGCGGCCTGTGAGTTGTGTTCGGTGACAACGGACCGCCGTGGAAATAACTTGGTGTTCCAGGAGGGATATAACTACTATGAGATGGCACGTATTATTATTATTATTATTATTATTATTATTATTATTATTATTATTGGAAGTAGAATCATCTTCACCATCTCATCAATTTTAACAACAAATAACAAAAATGCCTGTCAGAATCATAAGGCAGAAACCATTATTGTTGTAGACAAAAAGGATAACCAGTACATCAAAACTGAAGAAAAAATTGCACAAACTGCAAATTGACTGCGAAAATTTGTTGTATTTTTGAAAAAAATCTTAGATTTGTGGATTCTCATAACATGAATCATTAACAACGTCTCCTACTGCCACGCGACGCATAACGCTCCCAAACTTTGGCACATACTTTATTTCCAGTCATGCAACTCTAAACGTACTGCTTGTGTGTGATGGTTTAAATGCTTTTAGAATCAAAACCATCACATTTATTTATTTATTTATTTATTTATACATATACTTATTGCATATTTCTCTTTGTATCAGGGTGACGTCGATGCTGGACACTGTGAGATGGCCGGTGCTAGTTACGGTAAGTTGACAGGTAAACGGAAGATATAAGAAAAAGTTCCATTGGTGACATGTCCTTGATTACTGTACGACAACTTTATCTTGAAATTTTACGTTCGGATTCAGCGATTCCGCTAGATGTCGATCACTGAATGTTACTTTTATCTCATTTTTATGATTTGTCTTTTTGAATTTACGTTCTTTGGAACCGGAATACATGCCCGACTTTTAAATACAAAGACCATGCAGTAAGTACATGCACGTGTACTCCCATATGTATAAAACATGCCTGCTGATTGACAGTTGCTCATTAATCTTTATTCTTACTGTTTCAGAATACTTGATGACAAACGTGCAACTCGAATCCAAACGTTCTCCAGGATATTACGTCACATATGACGTCAATGATGGTAACAAAGCCAAGTTTGTGACGGGATATGGTTCATCTCGGCTGGACATATTGTCACCAGGTCTTACTGGAGAGAAAGGGACAGTTTCTCTGGAAATTAACGGCCAACCAGGTAATCTTCTCTCACCTGTATACATCAACCTGTAGGCCTATTGCAGGTAACAACTCGATATTGTGTTTTGGTCCTTTTTGGTCCGCGTTGTCGATGCAAAATGACCTTTATAAAATATACTAGTCTCATGCCATACATTTTGTGAATTACTAGAATTTTTTGTTTTGTTTTGTTATATTTAGGCATCGTGCTCATTTTGCCCCTAGTTTTAACTTGTTCCATAAGCTCATTTTGTCTTATTTTCTTTTTCTGTCCAAGGCTTTTACTTTCGTTACCGCAAAGATACACATGACCTTGAACTTTGGGGTCAAGGTCACACCACGCATGCGCCTGACACTGTGTACCGGGACTCCACCTTCCGGCTGTGGAGTTCTCCTTGGTATCAAAGATATCATGCTCTGGAGTCTGTCGATCACCCGGGAAGATATCTTGCTGATGTTGACCACCGTTTGATAATTGCCGCCCAGGACAACGGAACCGATGAATATGCAACTGCCGCCTCCTTTATGATTGGTTAGTGCTTGTCACGTGATTTTTTTCTGTATACGTAATTGGTTGATGATTTCAATGCAGATATTTTGATTTGACAATTGTTAAATATTTTGATTTGACAATTTTGATTTTTAGTCAAGTGTTTATCAAAAATGCGAAATAGTTTTGCAGTGCAACAGATAAACTGCATGCTGAATATATTAACAGACTGTACGAAATGTAAATATTTCAAGAACTGATTTATTTAATTATCACGTTTATTTATTTATTTATTTATTTATTTATTGTTTTCAGGTCAGTACACAGGAACACCAATCACATATCTCCGTACTGAGGTGGAGATTCAGTCAATCAATTTTCAAACTTTTCGGTTAACCTATCAATCCAACAACCAGGGATCTCTTATCAATGGGGACACGAAGAGATTTAACATATTAACCCCCGGTTTGACAGGTAATTTCGTTTATATATAATTCCTTATTAAAATGCTATGTCCACAAAAAGAAAAAAAAAGAAATTCCCCATAATACGTTTAAACAAACATTGCCTTATTTTGGTAAAGAGAAATGTATTTTTGTCGTGCAACTTGTGCAAGTGAACTTCAGTTACGCGGTATGTAATCATACTGAGACAGAGACAGAGATATAATTTCGACATAATATCTGTTTGTCGGCTGCCAACTAGGTGAATTTTTAGTAATTTTATTATGGGCACTCTCAAAGTTGGCATTTCAACAGAATGTATGATGTCTTCCTCATATTTAACAATACAGTACCATAAACCCTTACAAACTTTTTAACGTTGCGCCCACCAGGTGAGGCTGGCACCATATCTATTGAATCCGTAGCCAAGCCAGGTTGGTACTTCATCTACCTCGGGGAGAGCAGTTACTACGTGGATCTCGTAGACAGTACGGACCACCCGAATATCGCAGACGAGGTCTTCAACCAAAGAGCCACTTATTTTATCCGCCATGACGTTCACACAGTTGGATGGTTTGCATTCGAATCTGCCGCGTTGCCCGGGTACTATCTACGTCACGCGGGGTACCGGATGTATCTCCATGCCAACGTGAAAAGCAGTGCAGATGCACAGTTTCGATGGTATTAGTTCGTAGGGCTGTTTCTAGCTGTTTAGGAAAAATCATCCGAGTTATTTGATAAATTTGATTTTTGGCAAAAAATCTGTGTACATGATGCCGACTGGCATGAATGGCATCTTCTTGCAAGATAACTATCTAATTTTAGATAAATGATTTCAATTGTATTTTGAAAAGTCTTAGTGAAAAGTGACGTATTTTTGGATAAAGCCAGTTTTGTAACGAAATTTAGATTTTTTTATCCAAAATTCATACGAGTATGCCACACGTGCGATTTAATGTTTTTTTTTTTTTTTAATTCACTATGCTAAACATGTTTACTGTTTTAACAGCATACATGTATAGCGGGAAAACAATAATTTCGGCAAATCGAATGCTTAATGTGTCTGCGCCAGAACTATTTCTACACAATCAAGTTTCTTTAAATATATGTCCAGCCTCCGTAAATATTGCAGATGTTGACATTGTTGCCAATATTGACAATGTCCAGTCTATATATTTGTACAGAGTCGCGGTATGTGACACACAGCGTGGGACAGCAGCATAAGGTATTGACCTGCAAAGACCAGATCGAAGACGTCCAAACAGAAGTTGACCTTGATACATGTACTAAAGATGAACGTCTAGCGGCAAATGTCAGCCAAAATCGCCCCCGATCCCTGGAAACGCACCATTATTGTCACAGCTGGAAACTCAGAAGTACATGGATGCTGGTTTACATGTGTGAATTTCTAGCGACTTCTGAAACTCAGGTTGTTATTAGAATCGGCAGCGGCAAGCGGGCAATAGTGGCGAGTTTCCAGTGTCCTCTGAAATTATCCAAACTCAGGGTGACCAACATATGCAGGGATGACACTGTCATTTGGTGAAAAGGTCGGAAAATATGGCTATAGACTCAATGGAAACACCTAGGCCAATTATATTTTTTGCTCCCAAGAGGTTGGCAATCCGCCGATTCTCGGGAAAAAACTTATCCCTGAATATATATATATATATATATATATATATATATATATATATATATATATATATATATATATATATGAGATGAAAACGAAACATTGCACGGTATCAGCAAGGCATATACCATGAAAAAACCAACTTCAATCAAATAAATTTATTCACTGTGGTGTGAGATAACACTGGTGAACAGGATGGTGGTATGACGTCATCAAAACCCTGACGTTGTCTACTTTACGTCATTAAATTATATTAACGGATTATATTTGTCGGTATAACGCCAAAATATCAATAATATATCCCTATTACGTCATAATAATAATAATAATAACGTGAATGCGAGGAGCGAGGTTTGTACAAGGATGACGATATGTAATTATATATATTCCATAGTCGGCCATGAATACTTTCATATTCTCCAAGATTGTTTCTTAAACATTGACAAAAGAACGCAAGTTTTGTTAGCCATTCCCTCTCATACTGGGTTATCCAGCGAGGCTCTCAAACAATAACAAACAGACCAACCGCCACCTGCATCGCATTCCGCCACTGTCAAGTCACGTTTGCAGTGGCAAAGTGACACAACCGAACTGAAAAGTTCCGTTCCACGGGAAGGTTAGAAGGGGCTTGGGGTCGATCATGTACATACGTCAATTGGGTTAGGTTTTTTAGTCCCAGTGAAAGAAAAATAATGTGTGGTTCCCAATATGAGACACATATCAACCCTTGTATTGGACACAATCATCGTAGGCAAGAAGTCCTATAACTTGGCACCCGTCTGCGCCTCCGAGTTTCATGCCAACGTTACCAACTCCTCTCAGTGGATCGTGTTTTGGATTGACGTCAGGTAGCGCTCCTAATAATTGAACCTGGCAAGACGCGCCGGTGTCGAATTCTGCTACTGCGTAGGACCATACTCCCGGTGACGTGGGCTTGTGCGACATCACGTGATACTTTTTGAAGTCTGGAAAAAAAACAAATAATGTGATGAGTAGTATTTAGTCAATGTGTATAACTTAAACCACATTTGATGACGCACCTCGTGCTGCTGTTAAAATTTGGTCAAATCATGTTGGCAATAAATAATGATGAGTACATGCGACACCTTCATATCATTTAAAATCTAAAACCCCTAGCGACCATGAACTCATAAATATGCAATTTATTTCACTATTACTAACATTGAAAATATCTGATTTTTTATTTATTTATTGTCATTATTTACACTTAACCCAATATAAAATATTGTTGGTTATTTTACGAATCTGGTTCATCTGAAAATTACTAATATGTGTACATTGATGGGCTTAAAAAGAAATGCAGATGTATAATAACAAGCACTGCACAGCAATGGGGAGTAGAAGATAAGATACAGGCACATCATATAAGGGAACATCTTCGGGATTATATATGTTTTGACAGGTACATACCCCCTGTACATAGGAACGTTTCTCTCATCTCCATTAACACAAAATTATATGTACGACAGGTGTGTAGACAAAACACGCCGTTATTAGCTTAATCTCTCTCTCTCTCTCTCTCTCTCTCTCTCTCTCTCTCTCAAACACACACACACACACAAGGCAAAAGATTCAACTTCGTTAATAGACAATGCGAGTGGCTAAGTAGAAGTAGAAATAGAACGGAAAAGAGGGTGAAATAAAGTTACACAAGTTTTTTTTGTGTGTGTGTGGAGATGCACAGTGAATGAATTCCTCTGTGTTGTTAGCCGACACACAAAAACATGTTAATTTCCGTCTCGTGTACAAGTGCATGGCTGCTTTGTAAGGAGACCTTTTTTTCTTTTAATCTGTCGGATAACTTAGTTTTGCTGCAATTAGTCTGTTAAAAGAAGTTTTCCCCTTGCTTTTCATGGTTTTATATTTTCTTACTCCTGTATCTATTGATTGTTGTTGCTGCTTCATAGTATTTTTTTTTATTAAAGGAAAATATATGAACTACAACAATATCATATAGTCGAAAGGCGTGTATGTCTTGCTTGCTACAGTGTACAAAGCTGTGCGTCCCAGCCGAGGTTTGTTGTTGAGAACACTGGATAATGTTTTTTCAGTCTCACCTACGGTGCAACACTTTCACACCTGTCCATCGTTATGTACTTACGTGACAAGCAGACATATTTCCAGTTAATTGCCTGGCAAATTTAGACATCCGACGCCTCACGGTCGACTAGCTCCCTTCCTTACGTATATCCAACATCTTATCTGCTTCTTGACGTGGACCAGGTAATAGATTTGGGAACGTAGATATACTGATAGATTTGCTGTTTGCATTTAGAGATGTGTTTTTTATTATTTTTTTTATTTTATTTATTTATTTATTTATTTTTGGGTTTTTTTTATTGTTTTTGTATTTTTTTTTGTTTTACTTTAAAGTTTTCATGCGTAAATTTGTAAATAATTCCGCAAGGCGTTGCTGCAATTAAACTGCCTGTGTTATTAACTTATTTAATTAATTAATCTGATCAACTGATTTAACAGATTTACGGAGACTGAAATACATATGCCGACAGTAGCTACAACATTACTACACCCCTCCACATGTGATGACTTTAAGTGTAAGCAATATGGCTATGTCTTCCGGGTAACATAATGAAACCGCATGGTGTGTTTTACGCAAAGTTTGTATATTTTTACGACCACTGTATGTCGAACTGGGTCGTTTGATTGGATTGCTTCGATGTTTTTGAAAGGTTTCGATCGAAGCCTTTGATAATAATCAAAAGAAAATAGCAGCCTTAGCTTCTAGCAATGAGGTCGTCTAAATTAAATTCAAAACCGTTTTCAGATTGCTTTCTGCGTATGGTCCCATTTTGTATCGGTAACCCTAGGTAATTGAAATATTTATACCCTAATACTCTCGTCTAGAGAAAAGAAAGAAACCGGTTTAAGGAACATTCTATTTGTTCTTTTGTTTAGTATATTCAGGAATTAAGATTCACAAACAAAGTATTTGTTTTCTTCATGTCTGAATAATTCTGGACACTGTTTCGTTTCTGAAAAGGGGCCAAACAACAATCTTTACTTCTTCATACCTTTTTATGGCAAGTATTTGCAAAGATATAAGGGTTAACAAAAATTGAAATGTACATATATTCCATAGCTGCCAAAACGTAACCGAGGCCTTAAACAACCACTAATTAGGCATAGTTTGAATGCCTTCTTCAAGCGCTCATCCTAACCCAAGCATTCTGCACAGCTCTCACACCTGCCTTTCACGATGCTACCAAGGCTTCCAGTAAAGGAACCGTCATTTTTCCTTTAATCTATGACTAAAACCTTCCCCATAATCACAAATATACTCCTCAGATGTCAGCTAGGGTATACGCGTCTACCACGACATAAAGCTTAGGCCGCCGTATATATAACAAGGAACGGAACTGTAGAAGCAGGGGCTGGCACGTGCCGATTGAAGAGGGCTCTCGTTACCGGCAGGGGTGCAGCTTACGCTGCGAACACAACTTCTACCTATTCCTTCGTGCCGTGAATTCTTGGGGTTTCTGTCGGTTTTGGTAGAACCTTTATGGACGCCAAAGCTATGTTATTTATCGCTTTGCATACCGTTTTGCGATATGATCGGGCAAACAGATCCACCAGTGAAAAGAAATAGAGTAAGGCAATGATAAGAAAATAGCACTTACGGGGCTTTTACACCTGAAGCGGTATTTAATCAAATTAAGTTTGGAACGCCATAATTTTGTCGTTTCCGTTGATTTAATTACGTTGTAAATCGTACTACTACTACTGCACTTTCAAACGAATTACTTTTCTTGAGACGAAATAGGGGAAGCAGATCCTTGCCTGATATTTATGCCTATTGCGCTGAAATATTTATTTCAGCAAGGTGTTAAAAGAAAGTGTAACAAACCAGTCTCTGAAAAAAATCAATGTTAATACATTTTGGGCAATTTGGGACGATAGTTTGTTGTTTGTTTCGAGTCAAACGATGCTCACGTCAGTTTTAGATAAAACTGAAGGATATGATCCGTTTCATATGGCAATTGTTTGATAATTCGAGTTAAAAATTGATCAGCTATGCTAACGTGCACGATATAGATATATTAATAGTTTAACTTTAATAAATAAACGTTTAGTATATCTTTGTAATTCCAATTACTTAAGATACTTCATATAATCTTATTAAACAAGATCGACCTATCATATATTTTGGCACCACACTTTACATCACTTTAACGGTAATGCCATAATTCGGAATTGAAACCGCGTGTAAATAATTGATAGATATATTTATACATCAACCTGTTTATACACCTAACCTTCTTGTCCAGTATTTATTTGAACTGTGCAGATACAACAATCTTACTTTAATCTTAACCAGGTAGGACGCTTGTAAATGTTTCCTCCACTTGGTTATATAAACGTCCGTGTTACGAAATTAAGAGATAATCTATATTAACATCAAAGCAGGTGGTTGAGGAACACGGTGCCTACTTAATGTATACAAAGTAAATTGACTGAGAGTCGAAAGCTTGGTTTTTGTGATGTGTATGTTTAATATTCCGGTTATCCAACATAAAGCAGCTCAGCTGTAGAGGGATGGGTCAGCTATTTTAAGCGGTTTCGATAAACCCAATTAAAATTGCTTAACACAACGCCATGCCAGTGTTGTTTAACATAACCATACTTTTTCAATCAGATCTGGATACATCATTGCGAGATGACAGCTTTGACAGGGTGTGGATAGAAATATACCAAAATACCATTCAGTTAGCATTCTATGTCAGCAATGAACCACCTTTTAAACTGTAAACGCAACAGTTGGGCACTTTCATTGTGTTCATCACAGTGTAATAAACCCTCCTATATTTGTACATAATTTTGCTACAGGTAATTTACCTATTATCAACACAGCACAGCGTTAGAGGCATGCTGGGACGTCGGTGTAAGTACAGCTTTCAAACTGATGAAATAACGTACCAGAAGATGATGAAATGCCAAAATATCAGCCCCACTGTACAAACATGTATATTTACATGTATAGTCACATCTATTTATTTATTGTGTGAATCGTACGTATGGTACTCAATGAACATAACGGTGATAAATGTTTGGAAATTCGATTGTTTTTTGTGTATTGTAATTGTCCATTATTGTAGTTACGTTGGGAAGAACTACTGTAAATTGGTTTGAAAATAGGAAGTTGTAAATCTAGCAGTGGCGCATGAAAGATTGTTCATGTAAATAGGAGAATTTAGTAAATGTAAAAAGCACCATTGGTCAAAAAGACACGAAATATAGATCATTAAGTTTGAATACATAAAGCCGTTAAGGGTTATACTAAGTTGGTCAGTAAAATGCTTAAAATTCTTTCGTGAAATGAGTCATTAGTTTAGTGAAACTCTATATGTGTATATATTAGGTCCTACCTGCCGGTTTGTCCTCACTGTTCACGTTGGGCACTCTCTCCCATTTCGATTCATCCAAATAATCCATCAACTCCATACTGACTATTTAGGAAATGCTGAAAGAAAAAAGCGAAATGTTCTTAATGGTTTTCTAACTCACTAACTTCGTTTATGAGTCATAACACGTGGGTTAATGGGTTGGCTTCCAGGTATGGAAGTTAATTTGTGAAGTGTTATATGATTCACGCTAAGGCTTAAATTGCTGGTAAACATATAGACTTTTAACAACCTCCGTTATAATTATTGGTAAAGAAGCATGGTCTTAATGACATTTCCCTTGTACAAGGAGATGGCATGTGATTTTAAAATTTTCTAATATACGATCCCTAAAAGATAATAAAATAGGAATACCATGCTCAACTTGCTTATCACATCAGTTCTAAATTAATAAGGATCCAGCCAAATCTCTTGGATGCCCGAGACCTGCTTAAAGACTTAACTTTATTATGTATTAAACGTAAAAGTGTACTTAAATTTGGTTAACTTATTATAAAACGTGAGACATTAACGCTTTCCGTAAAACATGCAATATTGAATACGGCTAATTCGTCTTGGGTCATGTTAAACATTTTCGACCCAAGAGACTTTGACATGCAGTGCCCAATAAGCGGTTCATTCACCTAATAAAGTTTTGTTTTTGCTCCAGCAAATTTGCAAATTTGTCAAATTATATCCCACATTCAAGATCCTTGCCAGCAATTTCACCTAGTATTTGAACCCAAGCGAAAATAGGTTAGCGATGCCGTTCTGAAAAGCAGGACTCCAATTGATTACAAAAAACTGATTTCCTACTGCTTCGCAAACACCTCGATGTACGTGCCACAGTTATCTTTACCATAGGACATCTGTTGCCTATGTCTGGCTGGGGTTTATCATCTCCGGCATCGAATGGCCAGCGGTCAAGATATTATAAATCGGATAAATGCATTTTTTTACGTACATGGTTATGTAGAAGTGGTCAAACCCAAAATCTATGGCACGTTCCACCTTACGGACACTGTTACTACATCACAGCAGGCAACGGATATTTTTGAATGCTGCTAAAAAGATTACGCCTTCCGAATGGCCGAAACACGCGCCACCAGCACGCCAACACAGAGGGACGCAGGGTCCGGTTTCGTCGCCAACAGCGGGAGCTTGTATGATCTTAAGTGAAGCTTGATTGCATGAAAATCGCAATAACCATGGGCACCGAAAACATCAAAAGGTATACTAAAACAAATAGCCTCACTCCCCAGAAAACAAACATTAGCTTAAAGTCAAAAAGTTTCTGAAAATAGATTAACATTTTGATACTGACGGACAAAATAAAAAGCCAATAGGTTAGAACATGCCAAGCCAATCGATCTATATCTTCGAATTATCATAAGAGTTGATTTTTCTTTGATGACCCAGGGAACCGCATCAATCATTTTTCTAAGCAGCTCTTCCAGAAACTAAAATATATAGCTCATCAATACTCAGCACGGGCCCTTAAGCCAGATTCCTTTGGAGCAAATGATGTATAACCCCTGCAATGTACACGTATACGGATTCGGGGCCATTATAAAGCTAATATGAGGACCCTAACAAGCGCATAAGTGTCAGTAATAGTATAAAGAAGGACCAGGTGAAGAAGCACCCGGTGAACTTCGCAGTTGGTTTTTTATTAACTTTAGATTCTGGTAATTTTGGCAGAAAACATCAGTGTTTGAACAGCGTTTGTAGACAGCCGCAGAGTACATGGGAGGAAAGGTCCCGACTCTTCCACACACGCGTTTCTTTGAATTTGGAAACAGAACCCGGCAGTCTGGTACGTGTATAAGAAAGCGGCTTAGTTTGCATTCGATAAATTGTACAGCAATGCATACCGGGGAGCCAATGATTTTTGTGTTTTGTGAAAATCTGATCTGCTGAATTTCAGTTCACACTAGTGCTTTAATGTGTGCTGTGAATAAGCATTTGAATAGATGTATAGTGATCATTCCAAGCAAAAGCGAGCGTTTAAGCCGGAACTCACAGGTATCAGTATTTCCCTAGTTTCATGCATTTAATAAAAGACAGTTGAATGACGATTTATTTTTCAAATCCAAAATCCAATTGAACTGTTTGAATCAGATCACGCAAGATGGCAATTTAACATACATGTAGTCGCCAGTGTGCCACGTGTGAATTCATAAACATATCAGAGAAAATATCGGTTACCGGGTGTGTGTCAAACCTAATGCAATGGTACATATACACAAAACGAAACCATGGTAAACCTTCAAAACAACACAACATAAGCAACCTTATGACTCTTCCTCTGCTACAACATCATCATCACCAGTGCAGAATAAACCATCTGAGATATAAATAAATAACATTTTGGCACCGATGTACGCCCATCCATCTGTCTTTTTTCAAGGTGTTTCATAGTTTACATATTATGGAATGGTGCCGTGGCTGAGGCAAGCTGCAGTCTATGAAAGTATGCAGGCATGGTTTTTGCGTGGTTTTCTATTTAAGACATCCTTCAGAAACGAACTGTAAACATTATTCAAAAAGAATGAAATGGATGGCGAAAGGCGCCCAATGGCCGCCCCGTGTTCCAGCTATTACATAAAACTAAACCTCTGTTATTATCAAACTTCTGATAATAAGGATAAATCCCTAGTCTTTCCTTAACCTTAACCCCAGGGTGTCTGAGATAAGACGCACGATAAGACAGACCGACGATGAAGCGTTACCTGTTCTTGATGGACGTCCGTTACATGATGCAACGCCGCGTTTCAAGCTACACAGGTGGACAAAAGTTTGGTAACACCAAGTTAAAACTGATGTTTCTATATTTCAAAACAATACATGCCTTGTCTTTATCCAATTTTTTGCGTGCACCAAATTTGGCGCATGGTCAATTTGACAAAGATAAATAACATTAAATATCGAAAAAAAACAATCCACCGGATTTCCATTTGGCGGTACATGGTATACCACTTCTTCGGTGGCTGTTTTCGGCTTTGATAAGAGTACAGCATTTCCGTACTATAAACATATCACCTGTTACTTGGAAGCGAATCAACGGATGATTCGCTATGTAGGCCTACTGGTGTATAGAAAATTATATGTGAGATCTTTTGATTTTATATCTTATGTTATTTGAATTGCTTATATTTATTTATGGCTATCTGTTTCCAAGAACTTCTTCTAGAAGTCGTAATGATTGAACTGAGCCAGTTTTTAAAAACATGTTTTATGATAATACTGCCACACATTAACTTCCACTTTTTTGCTTTTCTTTCTTTGTCTCCTGTCTTATTTTTGGAAACACGGCCATGTGCATGTTTTAACAGATACCGATACATGTACCAGTATTTAGAAAAATCAAAGGTAATCGTGACTGTATTTGGCAGCACGCACTGTTTGTTCTCTTACTGCCAACAGAACTTCATCCAGACAACCCTAATTAACCCTTCAGTGAACAAATCATCAATATCTACATGCTCCTCGGTCTGAAGAATGTTTTTGAGACCAACTTGTCCTTAAACGATCAAAGAGAGCACGTATCAGGGGTATTCTTAATCCTCAAAACTCGACTCCAAAAACACTGAACTGCCATGGTATGTCAGGATATAATGCTTATTACCAAGTACCCATTACGAACAGTGTGCTGCTACCATATTAGCATACGAGGTGCAAAATGGGCTAAGTAGTAGGTTTCTGACTGGAGACAAATTGGACGATGTATTCTTACAAGGAAGCGTGGTTTTTTGTCACTGGCCAAAAAAACCCAGTTAACTTGGAGAAAGACTTGCTGATTTACGTAGAGAAACTTTTGTGAACATGCAGCTGATCAGTACGATAAATTGGAACTGCGCACGCTTGTCTACCTGTAGGTCCTAGCTGTTTCGGCAATTCTCAGCCATGCTACTCTCACCTCAAATAGTCACAATATATGTAGCCGCGACTACGATGATTTTTTTTTCACTTTTATTGCAATTGCCTGTGCCGTTGGCACACCACATTACGATGTGCGCTTCATGGGTGACATTTATACCCCAGATGAGTATAGCTACTGCCTTCAAGCATTTGCGGGTCTTCAACAATGTGAACTTTCTACACGCTACTCGCATCTAAACTCCCTAAAGAAACCCATTCATAATTACTGCGCTGATATTTAGCTGATCCACGCGTTGGAATCGCCATTCCCAGATTACTAGCCCAGAGGAAAGAGAGAGCCAATCAAATTTACGGCAGACTAGGGGGTATATAACTTTTTGAAGTAGGGGTGACGTAGTCGCTCTGTTTTCGAAAACCTTTTTCTGAGCGCTCCCTAAGTGGGACAACTCCAAGTGCTATATGCGGATACGTAAAAGTAAATAATCAGAAATTCCATTTGAATTTGCCTCATAGGGATTTCCAAGCACGACTTTCGGAAGAACCAGACCGGTGCCTTTCTCCACTAAAAATGTCAGCGGCATATTTGAAGTAAAATTGAACACAGGCGATATGACTAAGTTTAGGTTTACGCCACTGCTTGACATGTGCCGCGGCACCGTTCACAGCCAAGGTTATGTAAGCACAGTTCAGTCCCGCGTGTGAGCGCGCCTCCAGCACGGAGCCCGTGATGGGATTTGCAACCCCAGTCAAATTAAATGAGATAAACGGCGTTCTCTCGTTCTCGGTAATTTTACAAACTTAGTAAGACGGACGAGACAGATGCCCCTCTTTAGCCTTCCAGACGTATTGTAAACGAAGATTTACAACTTAGATTAACGCTTTTCCGAGAGCCAAGAGGCCATTCGCCACTCCAGGCCTGATAAATGTTAGGGATCTCTGCCTACTGGATAAAGCTCTGTGTATCAGTATCACTTGATCTAAATATTTTATCGTCCCAGCCAAATATTTATCAGCACAAGAAGCACGAAATACTATGATTAAATACTTTGAAAGTTTTTTTTTTCTTTTTACTAAGCAGTGTGCTCTTCAGATATGATTCAAGTGTACCATAGGCAACTGCAGTATTTTGACAGTCTGCCTTGTCTGTTAATTTTTAAAAATCATATCATTTTAATTAATTAACGGTCTTCAGATTGTTTTTAAAAAAATTATATATTTTCATCATTTGAAATTCTTGTTTCCTCGACGACAATTTTGGCATATTCAACTTTAAGACATCTGGACTTTGAGTTAACTACCTCCGGCAATAACTGTTTTTCATGTTGATACAATTTTCATCTTCAGTCTAGGAGACACAAAGAATCTATTTGCCTGTTTATAAATATGCGGCAGTGAATGACTGTTCTATGTATTTCTGGGGCGAAATTCGAATGTGTAAATATGTGAATATTATGTGAATATTTATACACACGCACTTTTTTCCCGCGATTTCATCGGACTCCATGTTTATTACTCCATGTGCTGTTTTCTCAATATATGGACATGATTTAGTTTCTGGTCTATGTTTGTTCACCGTATGTTTTGCCGTATGTTGTATTATGCAAGCTGTAAATTTTACATTCAAGCAATTTGCTTGTCGGCTGGCTTGTCCGTTACTAAAAATTGATACGCATTTTTTTTCAATACTCCAGCGCTTTTCCACATTTTACATTATATTCTATAATTTTACTTTACGATCTTCAACCATGAGATAATCGAGACAGGAGCTCCAGAGAAACCACAGGCGAAGATTAAAACCTAGCTGAAATCGACATAAGTTCATGCTTCACTAAAGTTGCTACTGGGCAACTCATGTCTTCATTCACGAGTTCGACACTTGCCCTGTAAATTTCCACGATAATTGAGGTAAATTGATCTAACATTCTTACACAACCTTTGCTATTTTCTCGAGCTTCTAAAATTTGTCTTTTCAACAACATTCGACCTAACATTTTCCATAACGCAGAGAAAAGTATCTGATTTTCAACCTTTGATATTTCTTTGACGTAGAAATAGTAACCTTCACTTTCCGTGTCAAAAAGAACATGTTTTCTTCAATAACCTTTTTTGCTTCCCTCCACCGTACAAATACTGTCTTGAGTAACTAGAAGACTAAGGCGGGGCTCCACTTACCTGTACTACGCTGCGCTACCTGGACTCCCGCTTTGCTGAGACGACTACGTGCCGCTCAGCTTCCAGCATCTACATTATAAGGATAGCCTGCTTCTTAGAGCCAGGTGGAACTTTTAGTGACGTCATGTAACAACAGTGACGTCATACTTCAACATGTAGGCTGCCATACAATTTGGTATTTTCCCTGAAGTAATAGGTTTTCTTAACGTACCACAATGAAAATAAAACCCACCCAACTAAGAGTTATGAGAGACTAAAACCTGTGAAAGAACAATTGAAAAATATAAAAGTTCTACAAAGTAAATTACTGATCAATTAAACACATAAAAAATATTTTGTATAAAACATTTTCAAATCTTTTCGTCTGTAATAAATTTACTTCTTCTCCACATCATTGCGTTTAATTTCGCTGTCTTAAATTGCATCTGGTCATTTTGCAATTTTGAGGAATATATATTTTATAGTGTCACTGACATACAATTAGGTATTCCCCTGAAATGATACAAGCACTCTGGATTGCCTCCGACATCACCTTTTTCTTTTGTTTTCGACTGTTGTGACTTAGTACTGCCGAGGTTGCGGAATGGGGACGCAAAAGAAGAGCGCATTCAGAACAGCGGACTAACAGATCCGTGGATCAAATATGGCCGACCAACTTGAATGCTTGTTGCGCAATCCCCGGAATCCATTCGGTGTCTAAGCGGGAAGTAAGCGGCAAGCTTTTCAGTGGGTTGGCCATATTTGATCCGCGGATCTGTTAATCTGAAGGTGCTCTTATTTTTCTCAGTATTTTTGGAGCCCAGGTGCTAGCAAGAAGCAAAAGAACATAATCTTAAGCGCCATATCAATCATTTAACATAAACCAGTGGCTATCAGTCTCTAATAAAGGATACGGTTTTAGAAAGTTCTTTTTTTCAAAAATTTCCCTTGCAATGCTACATATCTGAACAATTAGGATATCCGCCTGGCATATGGTTGAGGAGCTAGGACTACTAGACATGTGTAGTACTCCTGTTTATCTGTTTATGTCGTTATGGTTTAATATGCGGATTTCAGATTTTTATGGCAGATCATCTTGGAAGAGAAAATAAGATCGATAATTTTGCAAAGAATTTCAGTTTGATATTATGATATCAAAAATCATTTCTTAAAACATGCAAAGACTAGCCTTATAAACAGAAAAATAAATTCGGTTGAACCTGGACCTAAATCCTTCACATACGAACCTTTGTTAATGGGAGGGTGAGGTCAGAACTTTTCTGTATAACTATATTCGTGACAAATCAACTGATGTGAAAAATACGTTGACATCTTTAGAAGCAATCTACTTTTACGTGTATCTTACAACTGCACTGTCAAGAGGTAACGGATAAATATTTAAGGAATATTGATAATGCTTGCTTTATATTTATATTCGAAAAAAATGTGATTCCGTAGTATAAATGAGGTATAAATCAAGAGGAAGCACCGGCTTTGAACCAGATCTGTAATTAGAAGAGTCAGGTGTCTGATAAGTATCCCTTAAAATTCTGATAAGAAAGATGATGGGAAGGAACGGATTTACAAGATAATTAACTCGATAATCCCATCACGCCTTCACCTGTCCAACATTCCGGAAATTTTCACGTCTGAATTACCACCAAAAATAGCTGTAACCTCATGAATTATCGGAGATCATAAAATGCTTAAATGTGGTTTATTTTTATCAAATTATTTTCCGAATCTGCACCTGGACTTTCTCCGTTTATATTGAGGTTTCTGCAAACCCCATGTTCTAACACCTTTGATGTATCTTGTATTTCATCTTCATCGACATAGCAACGGGTATTAGTGATAGAGGTGCCACCACCAAAAAGTTGCATGTTTGTTTTCTAATGAATGAGGGCATGCGCAAGTGTGTGTGTGTGTGTGCAGGGGCGGATTTAGGTCGTCTTCTGGGTCTTCCGGAAGACGGTCAGATTTTCAAGTTTACATTGACGGGTGTCTAATTTTTTCTGTCGGAAGACGGTCAAAAATGAACAATGGATCAAAAAAGATAATTTGGAAGACTGTCAGAAATTAAAATATCTCTGAATCCGCCCCTGTGTGTGTGTGTGGCAACATCAGAGAGAGAGAGAGAGAGAGAGAGGGAGGGGAGGGGGAAGAGACATAGGGAGAGGAAGGGAGGGGCAGGGAGAGAAAGAGAGAGTTGGAAGGGGCGAGAGAGGTAAGTAATAGCTGCATATAAGCAGCTGTTCTTTACTCTCTCCCTCAGTTAATTTCCGCCCTAATTTCCAAGAAATAATGGCAGTTGCTTGGGACCATTAACCTTTTTCTATAGGTCCTATTTAGATCACTAGGAAAATTTGACCTCAAAGAACAACTGGAGTCACATTACACTATGACTCTGCAGGGCTGAAGCAAATATGAAACTAAATGTTGTCAGTTCATTATGTGTTTGCACTATTCCATATCACGCACTTCAAGGTATTTTTAACGTTATCGCTATGGATTTGACAACAGGGCAATCACATGCTGATGAAATCATAAAATAGGGCGTGGCGCCGGTTTTCACAAAATAAATTCAGACCGAGAGTTGGTCGTGACTTCCGTTCAGGATAAACCTACCGTATACCGGTAGTCCACTACATCTGTTGTGTTACGACAGAGACATTCTGATAATAGACCAGAGTGTACATTGGCCTCTGAGACACACTATTCATGTCTACAATCTACCTGTATTAAAACAATGAACCCGTCAAATCGGGGTGGGGGATGGGAGGGGGGGAAGAGGGAGTGCGAACGAAGCACCCATTTTGCCGGGAAAAAGGTCTGTTCTGGGTAAAACATGACCTTGATCCACGATAAAAGTTCCATGGTAAAAGGTCCATTTTTTTTTTCAAAAAAAAAAAAAAAACACTCCCCTTAAAGGGATAATAACTCTTCGTTTCGGCCAAAAAATGAATTTTCCTGGAGTAAACAACAATTTTCTCATACTAACCAATGGTTAATGAATCCATTTTTACATTCAAAATAAGTCCCTGTTTTTTTTCTAAAAAGTTTGGTTTTTTGTTAAAATCTCTTAAGAGATTTTAACAGAGTATAGCCATCAATGGAGGTCACGTGGTCTAAAGACAAGCTCAGATATCAGAATAATAGCTATAACTGCTGTTTTTGTGGTAAAACAGCATATATTATATTTCTATGAGTTATTCACAATGTTTTTATTGTAAAATATAGATATCATACGAAGAGTTATTATCCCTTTAAAATTGTTTGTAAACGGTTATCTACATGTACTTAACACTGTCTTATGAAAGTTACCAATCTTTGCAACATGAGGACTATTCTGTTGGTTGATTACATTGTGTTTCTGCCCAACGCCGCTGGGTAGGCCTATATCATGCGTACGTCTCTGTTACCCAGACCCTCATTTTCCTAACACCGAGAACCCTTATATACAGAAAGAAGGATGTAGAATCTGTGGTTTGTGTTCACCTGGTCGGCTTAGGTGAGATAACGTGCTAGTCCCTCCAACGCACAGCTCATGTATCAGTAACACGAGCTCCCGATGTAGCGGCAGGAAGGCAATTTATCCACCACAAGTGGCCATACCTCAATTTAATGGGCTCTGCCATGAACCGTTTATGTGTATGGATGCTATTCTTTGAGGATGGTCCACGAGGAAATCGGGAAAGAGAGGGGGTTGGGCGGAGGAGGGGATGTACAGAAACTCGGGGTTTAGATTCATTCACCCCCCCCCCCTTTAGTTTCATATAGGTTAGGTTTAGCGTGGCGTAAATGGGTCAAAATCTAGGCCCTATCTGTACAAATCAATTGGGAACGGACAGGGGACTCGCTCGGACAAGAAAAAGGCAAACTTGGCTGACAGCAGCAAAGTCAAAACAATAAAGAAAAAATTAAGAGAAAAAGAAGTCAAACTTTTTATTGTGAAACAAATTTGGGCGAAATAAAGTTTGTAGATTATGTTTATGATAGCTTTTGCAGTACATTTGCCGAGGCACAGAAAGTAGTAACGCAATCGCACAGCGTGTGCGTGTGGAGCGGAGTGCCTGGAGTTGTGTGTCTCAACTAAAGCAATTTAAAAATTGTGTTGGGATGTGCTGAGTGCTGTGTTAACACTGAGGTAATTCTCGTGACCTTTAAACGGAGGGGAACTTTTATATTTATTTATTTATTTATTTATTTATTTATTTATTTATTTGTATTATAACTCAATACAACTGTAAAGAGTGGTGCTACTTTGTGTAAATTTTTACTGATGTAATATCTCGAGAGAGGTTTACCGTATCGTTTTCTACTATACCACTTTTCCTTCGCTGTTGAGTTTCTTGATATAGAAATCAAACCAATTGGCATGGAATTAAAAGTATTTATTAATAAACTTTATCATATCGCATTTCATCCTGATATTATAATCTACTAAGTGCACTATTTCTAGAATATTTGATATTAATAAATGTGTTACATGATAAGTGAGTCTGGACCGTGTGAATTTCTTTACTGTACTAAGTTGCACAGAATAACTGAGTAATTAATGTTTAATCTTTTTTCCCCTTTTGCAGTTTCTTGGTGTCATAAGATAAAAAATAACCTTTAATTTTGAATACCAATCATGGAGGATTATAATCCATTGTTCGTGGTTCGCGGTACGCATTTCCTTGTTGTCTGTCTATCTCCTCAGTCTGTTCATAGCGTGTCGATGAAGGCCCTGTAACTGGTGATGAGGGTGCTGGGAAAAATAATTTAGAAGTATAAAACAATGTTAAATAATGATTTCCCTATTTGAAACAAGCACATTTTGAAAACATTGGCTATGATCCAACAAATGAATACATGGACATTATTTATAGAGCATGAATTAGGCCCGGAATGCACCTGTATAATTCGAAACATGTACAAAAGGGCTGCAACTTCGCATGCAGTTTACACGGTGAACGAATTATAATGCAGCATTTCTGTCACTGCCATCTCTATCATCTCGTCCACTCCCATCGCCCCATCCACATCTATCGCTCCGCCCACCCTATCGTCCCGCCTTCCCCCATAGCTCCACTGATCCCCATCGCCCCGCCCACTCCCATTAAGCCTCCACCCTATTGCCCCGCCCTCCCCTATTGCCCCTCCCGCAGCTAATTTCCACTACCTCTTAAACGGAATGAACACCTTCGATAATGGTACGTCCAATAAATGCTATTTGGGGTAAAAAATAAAAATAAAACAAAAAATATGCCCCAATTGCACACTGCATGGTTAGGCCTACACCTGAATCGTAGTGTGTACGACACACTAGACGTAATTCTCGTCCGGGATGAAAGGAATGGTAGACCGCTAGGAACCGTAGTCCTTTCCCCATTACTTTGTGGAGATTGCTTTCGTCCCATATATTAACCCCAGTACTCCGACTAATCCTAACCCGAATTAATCATATGGGACCCAAGGCTTCCATTCCTAGGTCTACCTTTCCTGAAACAACGATCTTAAAACTTGCAAATGTTCGGCTAAGACCGATAGTTAGTGATTCTAAGGAACTGTAGATGTCGTTAGTGTATTACCTTGCGGGACACCTTGTTACAGAAGGATGGAGGACTGAACACAGTGGTGTCCTTGATTCCGGCCGTCATGGAGGTGAAGGCTATGGAAGTCATTTGACCGCCTGAATTTAGAGAGGTTATACATTCACGATACATTCACCATTATATTCACCAATATATGGTCATATGGGGGCGTCTCAATAGTCCGAAGGTTCATTGGTCCGAANGTTAGGTTTAGCGTGGCGTAAATGGGTCAAAATCTAGGCCCTATCTGTACAAATCAATTGGGAACGGACCCTGTATCACAGGGGACTCGCTCGGACAGGAAAAAGGCAAACTTGGCTGACAGCAGCAAAGTCAAAACAATAAAGAAAAAATTAAGAGAAAAAGAAGTCAAACTTTTTATTGTGAAACAAATTTGGGCGAAATAAAGTTTGTAGATTATGTTTATGATAGCTTTTGCAGTACATTTGCCGAGGCACAGAAAGTAGTAACGCAATCGCACAGCGTGTGCGTGTGGAGCGGAGTGCCTGGAGTTGTGTGTCTCAACTAAAGCAATTTAAAAATTGTGTTGGGATGTGCTGAGTGCTGTGTTAACACTGAGGTAATTCTCGTGACCTTTAAACGGAGGGGAACTTTTATTTTATTTATTTATTTATTTATTTATTTATTTATTTATTTGTATTATAACTCAATACAACTGTAAAGAGTGGTGCTACTTTGTGTAAATTTTTACTGATGTAATATCTCGAGAGAGGTTTACCGTATCGTTTTCTACTATACCACTTTTCCTTCGCTGTTGAGTTTCTTGATATAGAAATCAAACCAATTGGCATGGAATTAAAAGTATTTATTAATAAACTTTATCATATCGCATTTCATCCTGATATTATAATCTACTAAGTGCACTATTTCTAGAATATTTGATATTAATAAATGTGTTACATGATAAGTGAGTCTGGACCGTGTGAATTTCTTTACTGTACTAAGTTGCACAGAATAACTGAGTAATTAATGTTTAATCTTTTTTCCCCTTTTGCAGTTTCTTGGTGTCATAAGATAAAAAATAACCTTTAATTTTGAATACCAATCATGGAGGATTATAATCCATTGTTCGTGGTTCGCGGTACGCATTTCCTTGTTGTCTGTCTATCTCCTCAGTCTGTTCATAGCGTGTCGATGAAGGCCCTGTAACTGGTGATGAGGGTGCTGGGAAAAATAATTTAGAAGTATAAAACAATGTTAAATAATGATTTCCCTATTTGAAACAAGCACATTTTGAAAACATTGGCTATGATCCAACAAATGAATACATGGACATTATTTATAGAGCATGAATTAGGCCCGGAATGCACCTGTATAATTCGAAACATGTACAAAAGGGCTGCAACTTCGCATGCAGTTTACACGGTGAACGAATTATAATGCAGCATTTCTGTCACTGCCATCTCTATCATCTCGTCCACTCCCATCGCCCCATCCACATCTATCGCTCCGCCCACCCTATCGTCCCGCCTTCCCCCATAGCTCCACTGATCCCCATCGCCCCGCCCACTCCCATTAAGCCTCCACCCTATTGCCCCGCCCTCCCCTATTGCCCCTCCCGCAGCTAATTTCCACTACCTCTTAAACGGAATGAACAGCTTCGATAATGGTACGTCCAATAAATGCTATTTGGGGTAAAAAATAAAAATAAAACAAAAAATATGCCCCAATTGCACACTGCATGGTTAGACCTACACCTGAATCGTAGTGTGTACGACACACTAGACGTAATTCTCGTCCGGGATGAAAGGAATGGTAGACCGCTAGGAACCGTAGTCCTTTCCCCATTACTTTGTGGAGATTGCTTTCGTCCCATATATTAACCCCAGTACTCCGACTAATCCTAACCCGAATTAATCATATGGGACCCAAGGCTTCCATTCCTAGGTCTACCTTACCTGAAACAACGATCTTAAAACTTGCAAATGTTCGGCTAAGACCGATAGTTAGTGATTCTAAGGAACTGTAGATGTCGTTAGTGTATTACCTTGCGGGACACCTTGTTACAGAAGGATGGAGGACTGAACACAGTGGTGTCCTTGATTCCGGCCGTCATGGAGGTGAAGGCTATGGAAGTCATTTGACCGCCTGAATTTAGAGAGGTTATACATTCACGATACATTCACCATTATATTCACCAATATATGGTCATATGGGGGCGTCTCAATAGTCCGAAGGTTCATTGGTCCGAAAAAAAGTAACATTTTCATCGTTTTTTTTTTAAATCAAGGATTCATTGGTCTGAAGGTTCTATATATATAAGGGCTATTGAACCGTCAGATTATTGCTACGGCATATGGTCAATGTGGCTACATTTAACCGTGAACGAATATACGAATTAAGGAACGGATAATGCGAATTATTCTTCAAACACTGATCCAATGTTTTTGCCCCTGCATTCTGTCTCTGTGACAGAAAAGCTGTCCAACTATGTTATTGCCATCACACACCACGAGGTTAATTACCTCGCCGCCATATTTACCATACTAGTTCCCCCAACAATTTCGTCTCAGATATGCATTTTAAACTCTTTAAACATATTAAGTGAATAAACTTTTTAAAAAGTCTGCAGTGTATAACGCGTGTACCTGCATCAGTGCCACTGTATTCAGTTTCTATGACGGGGATACAGTCTTGCTGGGTAACTGTAAGATCAAAGGTCGTACCATTGTACGTATACAGCCAGCGTTGACACGGCAGCTGGCTGCTGGGACTGCCAAAGTAAAACCCACCTCCAAACTTTGCGTCATCTGCAAAAATAAAGACCAGGTAAACTTGATTGTGCTTTTTATTATTTTACAGAGATTCCAAATATGGCGGATTTGGTAAGATACTGACGGATGTAACCTTACTTGTGATTGCATGGTCTATGGTTGGTCTATGATAACATTTTGCGTTTGTAAAGTCAAAATATATCTTCATTCACCAGGAGGCACCGCCAGATGACCGGAAATGTCACAGACGCTGACCTTTGTCAAGTTACCAATTTATAACTAATTGGTAACGATCATTATGACAGTTTACTGTAAAGCACGCGTTCTTATAATTATCAAAGAATGCATTAAGTACACGTTATATAAGCGTAGATAAAGTACGTAGTTACCCGGCATGCAGTTCGGTGGCATGGCTCCCTTTAGCGCAGATTTGGTGCACGTGGTGTTCATAATGACATACTGCATGCCCTGAAGTTCGTAAGAAACAGTTTTTTAAAAGGCAAAAATAGTGTTAGACACAGCTTAAATGAACATCATGCATTAGGACTGTACATGCATTTGTCTGTTTGCAAATGTAAATAATGAAATTGAAATGTTTAAGTACTAAATGATTCCGTTCTATACCGACTGTGAGGAGCTAGAAATAAAATGATAAATAATGAAAAAAAAAAAAAAAGAAATAACGTGCTGCACGCTGTTTGATAGCAAAAACAAGAGGAAGTCAATGCGGGGATTGCAGAAAGCTGCAGAACTGACTGAAATGTTACCTTCATCCAAACGACTAGCGTTCACCTTTTCTTTAATTAACTTAAGATCTAGGAAAGGACAAAGGACCCAGTTTTAAATTTATGGTTCCAATAAACTGATAAGGTTAGTTGACCAACTGTCACCCCAGAAAATTCTTACCATCTTCCAAAAGTACCTTTTGTATGGATGGAAAATGGGATCCGAATACCCTGTATACTTGTGCTATCCGTTTCTATCTTAAAGGTACATTTGAACCGAGTGCCGGTGGAGCTTGGATTCCCAGTAACGAATAAAACCCAGTTCTAAGGGTTTCTTATACGACTCAAATAAAATCGACATGCCAAGAACTAATTACTCGATCAGCCATAAAAGAGCTTTAACTACCCCTTTCTTAAATTTTTGGTCGTAAATTTGAACTTCTTATCTAACCTACTTATCTGACTAACCTGTCTGCTCCGTTTATATACAGTACATTAAGCAAACAGAAAAATACGTTCAAATATCACTTGTCGGGTAATATGGAACTGTGTCCTTAGGTATTTCTCTTAGATTTACTATTGAAGACTGTATGAGGTGGCATATGGCCGGTTTTTGTGGCAAAAACATTGACTTCAAACGCACCTTAAATACTTACACCTTTGAAATCCTGTATAACCTTCATATTGGATTGAGCACCTGCAGAGTAGTTGAGGTGGGAGACAGTGGCCACCCTCTTGCCTAGCATGTCGTAAGAGACAGCTATAGATCCCTGGAATTAAAAGTCCAAAGCCAGTGAACTGTATAGCGGGCATATCTGGACTGCATGGGTGTACTTCCTTTTATCTGTTTCCACTTAAGTTTAGTTGACAGTCAAAAGTTCGCAGTGAAGATTTGGCGAAAACTATTCGTGTATAAATACAGTGGATGCAATATTTCCAAATAAAGATGGTTGATTTCCTGCGTTTTCTTTAAATTGAATCGACCGAACATGGATATTGGCAAGGTAGTGTAGAAGGCAAAACATCAAGATACTAAGACTTCTACATAAACAAAATCTAATCTCACTCAAGAGTTAAGAAATTGGGTAGAATACAATCCATTAATTGCCCGAAGTTACCTTGAGGAATCCCGCGTGTGACTGAGCCGCATACCCGCCCACCTCCAGCATCACCCCCTCCCACTGTGAAGCCGTGCAGCATGGCGTCGGGGCCTCGGTCAGTCCTGGAGCGCCTAGCACACCGAAGACTGCAGTACACAGGAGAAGAACAAGCTTGATCATCATGCCGGAGTCTTGGAAAACAGGGAATGGTTCAGCTTCGAGTATATAACTTAACTGATGAGACCTTCGCCCGAGTTACCCTATATATATATGTGTGAGTGGCGATATGAGAGTGCTGACTTACGTTCACGTTACTTGTGTGTTCAAACACTCGAGGTCTTCAAAGATAATCTATCAAACACTGCCTCATGTAGCACAGTTGATATGGGACTTACCTTGATTTTAGCATGACATCATGTGCTTTTGATAACAGAGGAATGTTTCGCAAGAAGGGTGCTTGTTTATTTACTTATTTATTCTGAGCACTTCCACGTGAAAAGTAGTAGACCGGGGCTGTTACAGTAAGTGGCTTGTGAGTCATTCACGTCTATTACAGCGAACACTATTACTGACTTCGGTACACACACACGCAAACACACACACACACACACACACACACACACACACACAGTAGATAGAACGGTTTCACCCTCTTAGATGCAGGGGAGGGGGGTATAACGCGGTTTTACAAACAGACACACACGTGTATAATACAACAGTTTCAAAATCTTCGAATATATAACCGGCACAACGTAGTTTTCGTCGGGCACTTACGTACATTTATCTTCAAACGTGTCTCGTGACATCATATTCGCCCACATCATCAGTCACATACGCAGCACGTAAAGCTGACGTCATGCGTGTGTTTTGTCACGAGAAAAAGATACAAAAAATCATGTGATTAGAGTATGCAGTAAACAAACAATTCAAAAACACTCACCAGCATTCATAGAACTCTATCTTGTCACGAGGATAAGATACAAATATCATCTGATTTTATTTCACATACAGGTGGGTCGATCAATATATATGGGGCGGCTTAATAAAAAAAGATACTAATTTCAAATTTCAATAACACCAATCGTTCAGGTGGGGTTGATTTAACATGTATTTTGTCAGTGTCATATAAAAAAAGTAGCCCATATTATTTGAATTCTAATTATGTAGGATTATATTTGATTGTCCGTTGTTCCTGGTACGCATTTGATTGTCAGTCTATCTCCTCAGTATGTTCATAGCATGTTGATGAAGACCCTGCAGCTGGTGGTGAGGGTGCTGGAAATAATATAAAAAAGTAAGCCAATAATAATAATAATAATAATAATAATAATAATAATAAAAGTTATAAAGTGTCTGTGCATTTTAAAATAAACAATACTTCAGGCTAAAGAAAGATGTCTTCAGAAATGTTAAGTTATTTTGTTATTAGAATTATGGACTACTGAATATTGAATTCTGATTTGACCTCCTGAGCCGACCTCCATCCCCCAACCCACCCCTGTCGCCCTCCCACAGCTCTCGTCCCGTCCACCCCTACTGACCCACCACCGCCCGCAAATAATTTCAACTTTCTCGTAACGTACAATGCGCGTACGGCACGTCGAATGATATCGTTACTGTAGATGGCGTTAGTGTATTACCTTGTAGGTCACATTGTCACAGGATGGTGGAGGAATAAACACAGTGGTGTCCTTGATTCCGGTGGTCATGGAGGTGTANAAAAAAAATAAAGAAATAACGTGCTGCACGCTGTTTGATAGCAAAAACAAGAGGAAGTCAATGCGGGGATTGCAGAAAGCTGCAGAACTGACTGAAATGTTACCTTCATCCAAACGACTAGCGTTCACCTTTTCTTTAATTAACTTAAGATCTAGGAAAGGACAAAGGACCCAGTTTTAAATTATTGGTTCCAATAAACTGATAAGGTTAGTTGCATGACCAACTGTCACCCCAGAAAATTCTTACCATCTTCCAAAAGTACCTTTTGTATGGATGGAAAATGGGATCCGAATACCCTGTATACTTGTGCTATCCGTTTCTATCTTAAAGGTACATTTGAATCGAGTGCCGGTGGAGCTTGGATTCCCAGTAACGAATAAAACCCAGTTCTAAGGGTTTCTTATACGACTCAAATAAAATCAACATGCCCAGAATTAATCACTCGATCAGCCATAAAAGAGCTTTAAACTACCCCCTTCTTAAATTTTTTGTCGTAAGTTTGAACTTCTTATCTAACCTACTTATCTGACTTACTATCTGCTTCGTTTATATACAGTACATTAAGCAAACAGAAAAATACGTTCAAATATCACTTGTCGGGTAATATGGAACTACATGTATGTCCTTGGGTATTTCTCTTAGTTATACTATTGTAGACTGTGTGAGGTGGCATATGGCCGGTTTTTGTGGCAAAAACATTGACTTCAAATGCATCTTAAATACTTACACCTTTGAAATCCTGTATCACCTTCATATTGGATTGAGCACCTGCAGAGTAATTGAGGTGGGAGACAGTGGCCACCCTCTTGCCTAGCATGTCGTAAGAGACAGCTATAGATCCCTGGAATTAAAAGTCCAAAGCCATTTAACTGTATAGCGGGCATATCTGGACTGCATGGGTGTACTGGTACTTCCTGTTATCTGTTTCCACTTAAGTTTATTTGACAGTCAAAAGTTCGCAGTGAAGATTTGGCGAAAACTATTCATGTATAAATACAGTGGGTGCAATTTGTCCAAATAAAGATGGTTGATTTCCTGCGTTTTCTTTAAATTGAATTGACCGTACTAGTATAACATGGATATTGGCAAGGTAGTGTAGAAGGCAAAACATCAAGATACTAAGACTTCTACATAAACAAAATTTAATCTCATTCAAGAGTTAAGAAATTGGGTAGAATACAATCCATTAATTGCCCGAAGTTACCTTGAGGAATCCCGCGTGTGACTGAGCCGCGTACCCGCCCACCTCCAGCATCACCCCCTCCCACTGTGAGGCCGTGCAGCATGGTGTCGGGGCCTCGGTCAGTCCGGGAGCGCCTAGCACACCGAAGACTGCAGTACACAGGAGGAGAACAAGCTTGATCATCATGCCGGAGTCTTGGAAAACAGGGAATGGTTCAGCTTCGAGTATATAACTGATGAGACCTTCGCCTGAGATACCCTATATAGATATATGTGTGTGTGTGGCGATATAAGAGTGCTGACTTACGTTCACGTTACTTGTGTGTTCAAACACTCGAGGTCTTCAAAGATAAACTATCAAACACTGCACCATGTAGCACAGTTGATATGGGACTTACCTTGATTTTAGCATGACATCATGTGCTTTTGATAACAGAGGACTGTTTCGCAAGAAGGGTGCTTGTTTATTTACTTATTTATTCTGAGCACTTACACGTGAAAAAGTAGTGGGCCGGTGACAGTATTTGGCATATGAGTCAGTCACTCTGGGTCACGTCTAATACAGCGTAAACTATTGGTTTTACACGCGCGCACGCACACGCACGCTAACACACATAAGGTAGATGTAGAACAGCTTAATTCTCTTAGATACATATGCCTTAGACGCGGTTTTACGCACACGCACGCATATGTATAATAGAACGGTTTCAAAATCTTCAAACATAGGTACAACGTGGTTTTCGTCGGTCACTTAAGTGCATTTATCTTCAAAGGTTTCTCGTGACATCAAATATCACATACATCTTCAGTCACATACACAGCACGTAAAGCTGACGTCATGCATGTGTTTTGTCACGAGAAAAAGATACAAAAAATCATGTGATTAAAGTATGCAGTAAACAAACAATTCAAAAACACTCACCAGCATTCATAGAACTCTATCTTGTCACGAGAATAAGATAATTATATCATCTGATTTTATTTGACATACAGGTAGGTCGATCAATATATATGGGGCAGCTTAATAAAAAAGTTACTAATTTCAAATTTCAATAACACCAATCGTTCAGGTGGGGTTGATTTAACATGCAGTTTGTCAGTGTCATATAAAATAAAAAGTAGCCCATATTATTTGAATTCTAATTATGTAGGATTACAATTGATTGTTCGTGGTTTCTGGTACGCATTTGATCGTCAGTCTATCTCCTCAATATGTTCATAGCATGTCGATGAAGGCCCTGTAACTGGTGGTGAGGGTGCTAGAAATAATAACAAAAAAGTAAGCCAATAATAATAATAATAATAATAATAATAATAATAATAATAATAATAATAAATCCTAAAGGGGCCATATAATGCTTAATTAATGTGCACAGTTGCCTTTGAAAAGTGGTATAAACCATTCTTTGTCCTTAATTATTCATTTGCAAATATTGCCTAAGTAATAATAATAATAATAATAATAATAATAATAATAATAAAAGTAATAAAGTGTCTGTGCATGTTAAAATAAACAATACTTCAGGCTAAAGAAAGATGTCTTCAGAAATGTTAAGTTATTTTGTTATTAGAATTATGGACTACTGAATATTGAATTCTGATTTGACCTCCTGAGCCGACCTCCATCCCCCAACCCACCCCTGTCGCCCTCCCACAGCTCTCGTCCCGTCCACCCCTACTGACCCACCACCGCCCGCAAATAATTTCAACTTTCTCGTAATGTACAATACGCGTACGGCACGTCGAATGATATCGTTACTGTAGATGTCGTTAGTGTATTACCTTGTAGGTCACATTGTCACAGGATGGTGGAGGAATAAACACAGTGGTGTCCTTGATTCCGGTGGTCATGGAGGTGAAGGCTATGGAAGTCATTTTGACCTCTAAAATTTGAAATAGTACATTGTAGTAAAGGAAGTGGACGATTTAACACTGCTTGGCGTTGACCTTGAGTTAGGGGGTATAGTGGACAGTCTTGGAAAAAGTTTTCGTGTGGTTTCTGCATTCTTATAACCCCCGTATAATACATATCTGGTAGGTAACAAGCGTGCATCCTTGAGCGTTCTGAGAAAATCTTCAGTGTAGGAAGGCCGCCAACTCCAATGATGTGAAAAACATTGCGAAGGAAACTAACTTTTACCTAATTTCATAATGGACATCGTATCTCCCTGGCAGCAGTTGTATATCTATTTTGATAAAAAAANTGCAATGAAAGCTCTGTGAAAAACATTCGTATCTAAATGCAGTAGGTGCGATTTGTCCAAATGAAGATGGTTGTTTCCTTGAGTACTTTGCAAATCCAATCGACCGTGTAACATGGATATCGACAAGGCGGTGTAATAGGTGAAATAACAAAATGCCCAGACCACTACTTAAAATCGAATCTTATTCAAGCGATAAATAACTGAACAGAGCTCTTGAAATACAACCCAGCCCGCCGTTACCTCGAAGAACCCTGCGTGTGTCTGGGCCGCGTTCCCGCCGACTTCCACCATCACCCCCTCCCACTGGTCAGCCGTGCAGCATGGCTTTTGAGCCTCGGACAGTCCTGGTGTTCCAAACACAAGACAGATTGCAATGCATAGGAATAGAGTCATCTTGTTCATCATGTGGGAGTCTTGGAAAAGAGGGACTGATTCGAGCGAGCCTCAATTATATATCTTAACTGATGAGAACTCCGCCTGTGCTATCCTATATACAGTGTATGTGTACGTGGGTAGATAGGAGAATGCTGTCTGAAGTTCACGTTGGTTGTGTGTGCAAACACTCAGACTTTTAAGATAAGTTATCAAACACTGCCCCACATTATAATAATAATTATTTTTTGAATCAATTTTTATTGATTCAAGCGCAGTATAAATACAGTCTATGGGGTAATTGACATTCACGAATAAAAATGAAACAATAACAAATGTAATACACATATAACACATTTGGAATTTCAACTTTAAAAAAATGGTAATTTTTTTGTTCATGCTCCAATGTTAATTTGCGTGAGCAAGCGAATCCGTGTCACTCAGTACGTCATTATTTTCTTGCTTCAAAACTCATCTTTACAAACTGTGCTATTTCGATGTGGAGTTTATGATCACTTTGTTTAGCAAGGGCTGATAAATTTCATAATTTGTGATTGTAATAATATATGTTCTACCTTTCACACATAGTGAAGAGAGCCATTTTACTCTTGGATTGACCTTTTTCTATTTGGGTATGTAGATATGTCGACTCTGTTTAAAAAAAGGTGGTGAAGTTGCAGGAAAAATACACAAAGTATTTTCTTATTTCCCGACGTATTAGTAAACAACAATCCGTGTTGTTGTGCATAGTATCTTATCTTTTTTTTTTAAATAAAATCATCTTATCTTAGATCACCTTAGAAGTGACATGAACTTTAGTCAGCATCTTAAACAAACACACAACTCACATTTATACAAGCACACACAAGTATACAGATCAACTGCCAGAGAAAGACGTGTACACCCGTATTCCTTGTATCTCAATATTCCGGCAATATGACCAAGCTGGTTCTTATCCTGTGCGTCGCGGTCAGCCGTGTGTTAGGGACTCCGAACCACCCCTCAGCCACGCCCCCCAAACCATGCTGTATGCTGGACCAGTGGGATGGGATGATGGCAGAAGTAGGGACGTATGTCTACGATACGCACGCTGGGACCTATAGGGTAATGTACTGTCCATAGTCTTTCTGTGAGTCGGACCCCCAGAGCTTAGGACATTACACATTCACCTAGTAAAAAAATTGATAAAATTCAAAGATAGATAGATGGACAGATAAATAGATAATCATCTCAACGTGAGGAGAGTACAATATATTAAAAATGTAGAATACGCTCAATGTACAATCAAGTACGTACATGCAGCAAACAAACGTTTATTTTCAATTATATCAGTGCCTCTAATATACTGGATCAGGATTGACATAACACAGCAGTTACATAACGTGAACATAAGAAAAATGATCTGGGTCCAGTTTCATAAAGGACGATTAGCACTAACCAGTGGATAAATACATACATAGCGAAAATACTGGTATAAACGCACTGGTACACAATTGTTTTTAAAATCTCGACAACAACTGTATTTTCAGGGACTAATTTACTTTTACTACGACAAAATAGGTATGAGACAAGCGATCGATTCGCGTCTCATCTATTCCCCCGGCGTATGGGCTGATATAAGGGTTATTCAAGATTTCAAAGCAGTAAGTATTGTGCCACAATATGTCAGAATACCATCAAGGACTCTCAAAGCACACACGGTAGTATCAACACATGCTAAAGCCATTTGTCTTTGAAGTATGAGGCCTTTAAGACACATAGACCTAGAAAAGCGTCAGCAGATTTATTGTTCTTCCTAACAGAACCGGAGATGCAACTTGAAAGTAAGAAAAAAAATAAAGATAAAAGTCAGTTCACGTATCTTTGTTTTGAAATACCTGCTAAGATATTTAGGATGCCTTGCAAAACATATCCGAGGTTGTGGCATTTATTTAGCTTTTATTTATTTTTATTTTCTCTATGCTTGCATCAAACTGAATCTCCATAGTAAACCCTACTGTCTTTTTCCTTTTTTTTTTTAATGAAATTAAAATGTGTCTTCGAACACATTGGTGTTTTTGTGTATGTGGATACGAACTACCAGGTCCATATCTCTTTTGCAGTATTTTGTATCTATACCTGTGGTTATATCCATATTCCAGGGCTTCCAGTATGTGATCTTCATTCAAGGCAACACATGCACCAAATCTCCTCTGACAGGCACCATGCCACCAAATTGCATCCCGGGTAAGTACAAGTATATTTTGTGGCACATTTTCAATCAATGTCTGGAATAGCTAGGAGAATTTCATATGTAAAAGTTTCTATTTAAAATATGTTTAATGCAGCTGACCAATATCTGGAACAGATGCTGGTGCACCATGTAAGGGAATGGGTGGTTGTTATTAATTTCAGTTTAACTTTAGTCTAAATAATAAGCATTTTATATTGATGTTGGGAAAAGGGAATATTTTGGTCATTCCCATTCACTAAGGTGCCTTTTTTCAAAGCATTTGCATCGCCTTCATTATGCATATAGTATATACAGTACAAAGCATACAGGGCACATCTAAGATTTTAAGTTCTAAATCCTCCTTTTTTGTATCCTGTGTCAGGATCACAGATATAGATTCCTCACTAGATATTTTTCACAAATATTTCTCTGGCTAAGTCATGACACAAATCTCTGCTAGCCGTAGAAAAATGCACATAATCTACAACTATTGTACATGTACATGGTACCTTAATTTTGTAAACGGAGATATTTAATTTTCCACTAGTGGTATTAAACAAAAACTAACCCATCAAGTAATAGACCCTGGCCCATGTAGGGATTGTTAGTCATATAGGCTTTACTGATCCTGTGAACCGCATTTACTATTCAGATGACGCAACGTTTGGGGGAGCTTTCTACATGGGCGGTCCAGACAATCGTTTGCCGTGCCACAGGTGGCTGTACACGTCCAATGGTAGGAACGTTTCCCTGACCGTCACACAACAAGACTGTTATCCTGTATTGGAGACAGAATATAGTGTCATGCCCAAAGGTAAGGAACATTACTTTATTTGTTACTTAAAGAAGGACGGAAGTACATATGTTTTTTTATGTAGTCCGATAAGATAGTGTATTTTCTTTAATACGACTCGCCGAAAGCGCGACTTCAATACGTACACTAGTGACCTATTTATAGCGCATTGAATGCACGGGTTCTCACCTGTGAAAACCGCTCGTTTGGAGGAAGGCTGGAAATAGCCGAAATCGAGGCCACTGCGAGGTGACGTCAGGGGTATGGCCTACACTGTCTGCGACTGAGTTGGTAGGGAGATTCACGAGTCGGACTATGGTCTGGACGACGTAGATGATGAAAGAAATGAGGCGAGCACGGCAAGCGTCCGAAGCTTGACACAGTCGGTACTCCCTTACAAATTTGAACTCTTTCAGTCAGACTCTGAAGACGAGGGAGATGGCGGTGGCACTGGTGTCACTTCCAGTTTACAAGTTCTATATTTACTTCCTTAGTGGTAAGTAATATAACATTAGAAGTATTATGCAAAATACTTCAGAAATAGGAGCAAAACGTAACATTTTGAATTAAATAAGTTATGTAAATTATGTCTGCATATCTAACATACATATATGCCATGTGTAACCTAATTTACCAGCGTTTTTTATTTATTTATTTATTTTTTGTAGAAAGGTGGTGTTTGTTATATCACCATGCACTCAGGATTTGATCAGGGCTGTCTAAATCCCTATACATTGGAAATCGCATACTTTCAGCACAGGAAATAGTAATTCAAGTAAATCATACAGTAAATCAGACATATGGTACATGTAAAGATATTCAATTAGTTACTCAAGCAATACTACCATCAGCACAATTCTGAAATTCTCTAAATCTTCGTCTATATTTTATTGAAATGTGTACATTGCTTTTAATTCACCCGAATGGAATATATAATATTTTTTCATTTATTGTCATGAAACTTATTGGGCAATTGTATTATATTCTTACAGGAAATATCTTCAAATATATTATTGCCAAGTGGTGTGGCGGTGCAGATTTCTTTGGGGGAAAAGAAGGCAGGGTCCCCCTACCTGCTTGTGCATTGATTAAGATTAGAAGCATGCTTATATCAAGTGGACATCACACAGAGTTAAAATTGCCCAACTTGGATTTACTTCTATTCCATTAACGTGCACGAGGACTGAAGTGACGTAGAGTTGATCTTGTATAAAGAAATGGTTAATCATCAAAGAATAAAAATATATACTGTATATGCACATTTATCACAAGTGTCAGATAGAAATCTTCATAGTAAAATCTTGTCCAGCTTTTCCATTATATTAAGTCAGTTTTATTTTTCCACACTACTATTATGGGATAAGCTTAAGATAAAAGAAGTTCAAATTGAATTTATATGATTATCTCACAGTACACTTTATTATACACATTTCATTTGCAATTTTTTTGCACAATGTTTAAGACTTCATGACATATGACTTAAGGCTTGAACTCCAAGTTTCACATGGTACAAATGCATATTAAATATTCATCTCATGTGAAATGTTTTCATGTTTTGCTTTCATATATTGAAGGGTGTCAAAATTAATTATGAACATAATCTCTCCATTTGGTGCCTCTGTGGACCCTATAACATTTTGGTTCTAAGTCAAATATACATAGAAATTTTCAAAGCTTGCAAAAGAGCTGCCCTTCACTTGTTAAATCGAGACGGTCTCACAAAATTGTGATCTCCTGTACTGTGCTGTCGAAGGGGGTGGGGCTATTCCCACCAGAGGTATGTCACTTAAATTTCTTCAACGGTCTTCAACGGTCAGCAGTCAGTGGACAAAACCTAAAACGATGTACTTTTTAAGTAATTAAAATGATTTTTGAAGTAATTCAAATCCATTATGAACTCAATTCAATGTAAATCCTGACCGAGTGCTGCTGAAGAGATTTGTCAGAGGCATACATGATGTGACCAGAATATTCTGCATGTGGCATATTTCATTTCTGTTTGTCTGGACATCTGTGGCAATAATAATAATAATCAATGCAATTGTCATAAATTAAAGTACACAAAATGAACTAATATATAATGAAGCTTTCCCACCTTTACATTGAAGTTTAGGCTTAGACTGAACAGCAAATGATATTGGACCTTCATTCCCTTCAGCTGGGACCCTCTTGTTACTAGTATCTGAAAATATAAGAAAACATTCTACGTATATGTGGACAGACTTAATAACACAATTCAAATCTTTTCTATTAAAATACACTCACACACACAGAAGTAAACTATAGTTAGGGTAAAAAGCTAATCTGAACAAGCGATTTAAAAAATCTTCACAGCTTCTGCCCTTTACTGGTATACTGAGTGTCATCAGTTAGTTTCAAATCATATAAACTTATCATAAATAAAAAAGTAATGGAAGTACTTATGGAAGACTGCATTCTAATTAGCCTACAATCTATGATACCTTGTGCCTCTATATGATGAATATCTTGGCATGCAGGCGAGTGGTCGTAACTATCTCTGTCAGCAAAATTTTACATTTCTTCTCCTTTTTCAATGTTTTCAATTGTCGTTACTATATCAGGTAGCGTGAATCTCAAATTGGTTCTCACATATCCGCATCGTCTTCGACGGCAGATCAAAATCTTTACGGCACGCAAACAAAATTGATCCACTGTCTGCTCAATTTCTATTTTTTACCCGAAAGAAATGAAACAAAACTTCGTCAATAGAGAAACTAGTACTGTTGCTTCCATGCACCACACAATAGCGTCCTTTGCCTCTCTTCAACTTGTTTCAGTTAGAATGATGAGAAACACAACCCGCTTCAAACTTCCAAACTATTCAGCAACATGACGGTGAAGCGATTATACCAAACATGTTACGTCATTTCCGTTTCAGCGAGTGTTAGGCAGTCGCGTTCAGGTGAGTTGTTTTGCATTATCGTCAATTACATCGCATCAGGCTATCGCTCGGAAACGGGAGTCCCGGGACTCGAATATTAAAAAATTACTCAGTCGGACTACATAAAAAAACGTATGTACTTCCGTCCTTCTTTAATGATAAGTGATGGCTGTGATGGCCCGTGAGGAGAACAGTACGGACATACTTGGACGGGCTATACTTGGATCATTTCAGAGGAGGCTTGTTAAAACGAGCAGTTATCTGATTAAGAATACTGTGAGATAGGGGAGACCGTGGCTAGTTGGACTCCGGGGTAAGTTTACCCCCCCCCCCCCCCCCCCCATCAATTTATGACAAAGTAACTATGGGGTGAAAGAATTGATCACAGTTCATAGTGGTTAGAAAGCGTCGGCAGTGAGTCCAAATGAAATAATTTAGCATCTTAAAGTAACTTTATTAAAAAGACTTTATGGGGGGCCAACTTACCCCGGGGTCCAACTAGCCCCGGTCTCCCCTAAATAACGACTAGCCCTACACCAAATCACACCTTCTTTGTAACCCGTTGTAAAGCTCCACTGGTCCCACTTGGATCGATCTAATTGGATCGATCTAACTCCCTGGGGAGTCTCACTAAATTGCTGTCAACTAACTGGCCTAAATGTCTGTCCCTGTATGCGTTAGGAATTTCGTCTTACAGAGCAATGCAAAAGTGACACGCAAAACAGGGAAGATAGGTTCATACTCTTGTGCAGTACTGTTCGACAGAACGTTACAGAAAATCCAAGATGTCCGTGGATACACTGTGACAGCTTTATTCGTTGATGAACTGGACTAGACTGCCCTTATAGCTACGTACTTCCCTTCTCACCCTCTGCAAAATCCCGCATGAAGTCTTTGCTGAGACTGTAATCGCAAAAAGCCGTCCTCCGGCATTATGAACGCAGTTATGACACATGATCAGATACGGACTTCTTGTTTCGTCTCCGTTTAGATGAGAACTAATGAAGCAGGGACCTTTTTCTCTATTATCCGATATTTTCATATTTTGAGCGCAAACAGATCAACTTTACTCATTCTGAATGGCTCCTAGTATTTATCTCTTATATTTGCAGTTATTTATTTATTTATTTATTTATTTATTTATTTATTTATTTATTTATTTTTAGGTGGCCAGATGGCATCAAGTGCCTTCGCCTATGTTCACTCCGGCATCCACGACCCGACAGTATTCAACATCCCGTCCTTTTGTGAGAAGGTCTCCAAAGAGGTAAAACTTATCCCTTGGTCGAGGCTTAAATGAAGAATAAATCCTCCATTCTCAATATATTCTAATGTAAGAGTCGTAGGCTGCGGGGGAAGAGGGTAGGTGTGCGCTGGGGATTAGAAATTGTTTTATTACGTGTTAGGGACTATTCCCAGACCCTATCGTACTAACTGTGGATCGATCTATCTAAGAGAGGATTCTCGCTAAATTTATAGCTGCAAGGGGGTAATAATTATCGTTTAGCACCTTCAATAGGCGTGCCCGACATCTAAGCCGCGTGAGCTGAAAGCAATTTAGAGAGAAACCCCTCGGAGATAGATCGATCCTGTAAGATCGATCTGGTTATGAGAACCCAGTCTTAGTCTTTCCCTACTTCATCTTAATTGCCCTTCAATCAGCGTCTATGAGTACCAGATACGGACCTAACAGCCTTTGTATGCATACGTATTGTAGGCCCCACAGCTGCCCCCATCCCCCACCCCACCGCCCCCTTAAATCTCCGTCAAATATTTAGCCCCGCCAACGACCCTGACAACGTGTGTATGAAATGTATTTTGCCGCTTTCTTCAGCGACTAAACCATATAGTCTCTCCATTGCCCTGTATTGTCAAATCGTCACTGTGCACGTATTTTTAGACCATTTGTAACACATAAGTGCTTATTTTAATAACTGTACCGGATCGAAATTTAGTTCCTGCTTTTTAATTATAATCCCTTTATTCCAGCACCCTCACCACCAGTTACAGGGACCCCATCTTCACGCTTTGAACAGACTGAGGAGATAGACAACCTTGCCGGACGTTTATATGATCAATTCTAACCAGGGAATGGGTTATAATTAATTATAATTATAATCTTATTGCTTTAAAATTCAGTATAAAGCATATTTGTTAATGTTACAAGCTTGATCTTGTCTAAATTGATTAAGTAGCCTACATTGTATGGGTTTCTGTAATTATGATTCGAAAAATAACACAAGGTAAATTATACTGAATGTATGAGAATGTCCCTCATAACTCTTGTAAGAGTTGCTCTGTTTTAATGTTTGTACTGTCTATTTGAACGTTAAAAAGAGATGAGACTTAAATAAAATAAAAGATAGACAAATATTTCACTGCTCAAACGATTTCTAGATTATATGCGGAAAATATTTTTAAGATTAAGCAAGAAAGGCATCCCCAATTTTAAATACAAACCGGTATATGCTGTGAGTGTTGATGAAAATAGTGCTGGGTTGGCCAGTTTGTCAATGCAAAATTTCACATAACCAAATGGCAAATAAAGGCTATTGACAAACATTTTGTACGTGTATGTAGTCTTTCTCCTGTTTTATTCTTTCAATATGCTTGAAAATGAACACAAAGGCGTAAGATATCTATTCAATTTATTGAAATTTTCGTAAAGTTATCATAAATACATAAATAGAAAAATTATCTAGACTTAAGTCTCCCATGCGTGGTTTCTCGTAGAATTTGTGCTGTAATAATTGTGTTAATTAAGCCTAAATAAAGATGAAAATATCAAGATGAATACCTATGGATTACTTGTCTTTAACGAAACGCAACCGTGATAAAAATCCGACTATTTCAAAATCTTTCCGACGGGACACATATTCAATAAGTTATAAATACAAGATTGAAAGAAAGAGTACAACATGGATAAAAGCTTTAAAAAAGGACAGTGATAAACTTTCTAACGTGTTGTCGATCAGCACAGGAATACAACTGTGCCTGTAGAATGCTAACAAAATGCTTGAAACCTTTACGCTGGGTTTTGTCAGTTACATGTAAGCCTTGTTCTTTAAATTTCTATAAGTCACCAAGGCAATTTGTTTCATGTGTACGCAACTTTCTGATAGTACATCCGTACAACAGAGACGGTAGAAGTAATTAAGAAAAAAGCATGACAGCAAGGCTCCCAATGGGGCTTATATTCGTGCGTTAAACCGGGTTATAATCATACCACATGCACACATACAGTATGCTCACAGAGTGTTAAGACCGCTCCTATTGCTTCTAATTCCGAGCCTTCTGCACATCTCTTCTGTCTGTGTTTTAATTATGATCTCCAACAGTTTACACTTGCTACAGAGCTGCCCCAATTTGGTAAAAATTACTAGCGATATGAAAGCTTAATCACATGATATTAACACATTTTAATTTTTATTAATAAGATTTTGAAAACAAACAGTGTGATAATTACACTTTAATGTTACATTCACGTGCGCACGCGGTCACAAACATTACACTTTTTCAGGTGGCTTCTCTGTTAATGCTTTGATACTAAAGCTATATCTGTATATTTTTCTCACGTAAAAGGGGATTATTTCAGTTATGGGTCAAAAGATCTAGATCAACAAATACATTTATCATAAAAAATCAATATATAAGGAGAAATAAAATCATTCAAAGTTGAACTCAAATTCATATCTATTGTAAAGCCAAATGTTTATTTATCTATCTTTCATTTTATTTCATTTATTTTATTTTATTGAAATTGTATTTCTCGTTTACGTTAAAAACAGTACAACAATTTAAAAAAAAGCAACTCTTGCAAGAGTTATGAAAGACATTCCAATACATTCAATATGATTATACAGAGTGTTATTTGTAGAATCACATACAGAAAACCCTACATTGTATTTGATAGTTTTTTTTTTTTTTTTCACAAAGGCCAATATTTTACCACACAATGTCATGTACATAACTGAAATAAAGTTCTTTCGGTTTAAACATGATTTAACTTGTCATATTAACTGATTTGTTTTACACTGAAGTATAAATCACTAAGATTATTTTCAATATAATGCAGTCCCTGGTTAAAACTCCGCATCTTCATGTCCATACATGTGCGTCGCATTTATCATTTCATCTCCTCAGTATGTTCATAGCGCGTCGATGGAGTCCTTGTAACTGGTGGTGAGGGTGCTGCAATGAAGAGAAAACACATTAAAAAGGGGGGAACTGCCGCTTTTATATCGTTTTCATAATGTGCGTATGAGTTACTAAAAAGTAAAATAACGGGTAACAGAGAAACTGCATCTAACATGTTTATTGCAGCAGTATACATTTCACGTCGAGTCGCTCGGGGTCGATGACTGAGATAAATTCTTGGCGAGGGGAGGGGGGAAGGGATCTACAATTGCTTATTAATCTATGATAAAAATAATTAATAAATAAATAAATAATACTATATTCGTTTTGAGTCTTAAATTCATAAAATGTTCCGTAGACTGTACGCCATAAATTTATTAAAAGATTTAGATAAAATTGATAGAAATATACCAATTTATAAAATCAACGTTTGACTATTTAGCGGTAATCCCCAGCGCTCACCCGCCCCCTTCCCCCGCAGCCTACGACTCTGTCATTAGAATATATTGAGAATGAAAGATTAATTGTTCATTTAAGCCTCGAGCAAAGGCTAAGTTTTACCTCTTTGGAGACCTTGTTACAAATGGACGGAGGGTCGAAAACTGTAGGGTCCTGAATGCCGGGGCGGACAGACGTGAAGGCAATTGACGCCATCTGGCCACCTTAAAATAAATAAATAAATAAATAAATAAATAAATAAATAAATAAATAAATAAATAAATAAAATAAATAAATAAATAAATAAGTGAGATATAGATGAATAAATAAATAAATAGATAATTCAATAAAATTGCTGCATAGAGCAAAGACTTGAGAACAAAAATAAATATCTTTAACATATACAGTATAGAAAACATATCGCAAAAAAGAAACAATTTCATCATGATATAAGTTAATGTTAAAACCACTGCAACAAAATAGTTGAAATGTTATAAAATATGATTTCAAACAGAAATTAGAAAAAAATATGGACATTTGAATAAAATTATGTGAATATCTCGAGAAAAAATTAATCTGTGGCACTGGCACCGCCACCTGGGGCGGATCCTCTCCTTTTATGTATCTGGATGACTTCGTGCTGTGTCGACTATATCTTAAGCTTATGACTCCAGTCCATTTGTCTTGTGCACCACATCCCCTCTGGCACAGGTCACAAATGTGCAATGACTGAGAATATATATTTTTATTAACCTCTCCGTCCGTCACGCTGGGAGGCATTGGCCGACCCAATACCAGAATATCATATAATAATTCCGAAGCTATATGTGCATATACCGTGACGATAATCGGCCACAGTAATTGCGGAAAACTACTGCATCAAATACACGCAGTGTCACACTTCATATGGAGTATTTCGATTCAAATCGCACGTTTAGGTAAAGAATGCATTGATTGTTTAAAATTTGCGTCTCGCATGCAGTATATGAATAGACAAATGTGTGGTCAGCTACATGCACTGGTATGGCAGAACCAACAAACCGACTGGATTGACTATACCACTGCTGTGTTAAAAATATTCATTGAAAGTTTTAGATAGCAATGATTAAATATACCAATTTATAAAATCAACGTTTGACTATTTAGCGGTAATCCCCAGCGATTTGCCCTTGTCATGTTGGTAATATTTCACCTGGATTTATTATCTGATTAAACGTCTTGAAATTTGTAAACGCGCAAAAGCTTTGGCTCTGTGTTTTGATACGGTCTAAAAATAAAATTATATGCCAATATTTTAGTGAAGGTACCGAAGATCTATTTCGACAAGTGTTTTCCGCCAATAATTGATATAAATTTACAATATATCGATGATTTGTGATTTTAGCTACAAATAATTTTCGCCGTCCTACTTGTATCTAGAACCCTATGTATAATAACGGCCATGACTTCCACATTTCGCACAAGTTAATATGTAACAAAGAATCATCTGGGGGGGGGGGGGGTTATAGCTTCACAAAATTATGTGAATATCTCGAGAAAAATTAATCTGTGGCACTGGCACCGCCACCTGGGGCGGATCCTCGCCTTTTATGTATCTGGATGACTTCGTGCTGTGTCGACTATATCTTATGACTCCAGTCCATTTGTCTTGTGCACCACATCCCCTCTGGCAGAGGTCACAAATGTGCAATGACTGAGAATATATTTTTATTAACCTCTCCGTCCGTCACTCTGGGAGGCATTGGCCGACCCAATACCAGAATGTTATATAATAATTCCGAAGATACCTGTATATGTATGTGCATATACCGTGACGGAAATCGGCCACAGTAATTGCGGAAAACTACTGCATCAAATACACGCTGTGTCACAATTCACTTCATGAAGTATATGAATAGAGAAATGTGTGGTCAGGTACATGTAATGGTATGTCAGAACCAACAGACCGACTGGTTTGACTATAGCACTGCTGTGTTAAGAAATATGCGGTGATTTCATGGGGTAGCTAGCTTTTTGAGCTTGTCTAAGCGAGGCAATGACAGAGCAGGGTTTTGTCAAAAAGTCTGAATATTTCGGTTTCTGTCACAATGACAGCAAAGAGGATATCAAAAGCTATCAAAACACGATTTAAATCCTTGTTCTCATTTATAAGTCGTAAAAATAGAAAAGAATCGAAGAAAAATTATTTGGAAAAAATATTTCATAATGATTGTAAAGTCTTTATATGATTATGCATGGGTTTACTAATCAGACAATGCTATAAACCTCCCCCCCTCCCCCCCGAGACGATTATTTGTTACATAATAAGAAGAAAGTTATTTCAAAGTCCTGAATTGCTAATTTATATAAAAATGTTTTGAGCTTGAAATAATTTTTTTTTTTTAAATTACGAACGTTACTTGTGCGAAATGTGGAAGTCATCGCCGTTACGATACGTAGGGTTCTAGATACAAGTAGGACGGCGAAAATTATTTGTATTTATCACAAATCTTCGATGTATTGTAAATTTTTATAATTTATTGGCGGAAAACACTAGTCGAAATAGATCTTCGATACCTTCACTAAGATATTGGCATATAATTTTTTTTCAGACCGTGTAAAAACACTGAGCCAACGCTTTTGCACGTTTATAAATTTCAAGACGTTTAATCATATAATAAATCCAGGTGAAATACTACCAACACGACAGGGGCAAATCACATTTTTTCTTAGATGTTTATCTCTAAAATAAATCAAAATAGAGAATTCACAATGCTACACGTGAAAGTCACTTACTGCATGCTTATCCGTTTCTAAAAACTATTTATTGAACTTGAATGGTTGTACTGTTTGATTTTATGTGACATGCCTCGTCTTTAGTCAAAGTGCCGTTCAGAAGCGACCACATCTGAGGGGTGGACGCTCGGTGGACAGCGAACGACTTCACGAACTTACACTTATTGCTGAAAATAGTGTTATAATTTGCCGAGCGGCGTAACCAAAAGTTAACATTGTGTTTAAGTTTGATGTCATTTGCGTGCGCTATGTGTCCCATATACACATCTTCTATGAACAGGTGTTGAGTGAGAGACGCAGAGTTAATGACACGTATCACATCAAAAGAAAAAAGCGACGCAAATCCTGAAACAAAATCAGGGAAATTGCTCCAAGGGTATTGTTCGAATGACTGGTAATGCTTGCCGTTTGGCTTTCTTTGTGGGGCTTTTTTGTCGGAGCGAACGTTACCCTCAAAAAGTTTTAACTGGGAATCTTGGGGAAGACTCGTGAGATAATCCATTATTTCACGGATGTTGAGCGTTACATCATGACCGCTTCTAAGAACGAACTTTGCGTTCCCGCAGAAATCAACGGCCCAGCGGAAAGCAAGTAGAGTCTCAAGCGTGTAGTTTTTAAGTATCAGTGAACTCTATTCTAACGATGTCTTTATATTTTAATCCTTCAGCTATTGCATTCCCGTCCACTGTCTTGTTTGTTGTCCCAAGAAAAAAGACGGTTTTGATTCGTCTGCCCAGATGTTGCTTCCAACTACCGCATGTTTTGCGAAAAAAAGTTCTAGTTTTCACATCTCGCGGGTCCGAGATTACCAAAACCAGCAAATATGGCTCGTCGGCCGCAGTACACTGTTGATTTAATACGTATCTGTATTTCTTTAAGTGGTACCAGTATTTTGGTGCCATTTCCGCCGAGCACACATCAAGTGGGATTTTACAACGGGTGTCCAAGATGGTATTCCCATCCCGATAACTGCTTGTTCTAGCACTTTGATTTGGAAGTCTAGATCTCAGGATCCAAAGTGTGGCGAGTCCCCATATTCCAACAATACAGGCTAATGTTTGTACCGTTCTCTTCACGGTCATGTCATAGGCCGCACTAAAAATGTCCGTGCACTAATATACAGTCAAAGTTTAGCGATATTAGCCGACGTGTAGACAACATAACACGCCTACCGCCAGTGGCGCCAGCGAAAAGCGACCAGGGATCATGGGATCTACGTACAGTACATACAGTATATAAAGACTGCATACACAGTCATTACAAGTATTTCAACACAAGAGAAATATACCCTTCACTAATACAAAAAGAGTTAAAATGTTACTATTTTAATTTGCTTTTACGCTCATTTTCTAACCTGTCCCATTGCCACATACGTTTACACGAGGGCTATCACGGCCATCACTTAACATACATTTTGTAAACATATAACAATGAAATTAATGGTTCTTACCTCTGGGTGTGTTCCCGTACTCCGTCTCCAACACAGGGTAGCAGTCTTGCTGTGTAACTGTAAGGGAAACATTTGTCCCTTTGGACGTGTACAGCCACCTGTTGCACGGCAACTGGGTGTCTGGACCGCCGATGTAGAAACCGCCCCAATACTTAGCGCCATCTGAAAAGAAAATGCGGTTCACTGGATTCAGTAAGACCTATATGATTACAAATCCGAATACAACCAAGACGTGTTTAGTCTTCAGAGGCTTTTCAACTTAAACGTTTGTTTTTGTTTAAGGCTCTATTCCCATAGATTTTAGATCGATCTATCCCCGCGGGGAGTCTCACTAGATTACTTTCAGATAATCCTACTTAAATGTCCGTCCCGCCTACTACAAGCTGTAAGGGTGTAATTAATTTTCGTGTCCGCCCGGCTGACAGCTATTTAGCGTGAACCCCCAGGGAGTTAGGTCGATCTAAAGTAGGTCGATCTAATCTATGGAAATGGGGTGTTAGACTACTGGTGGAAAAATGCACAGCTTGGTTTTAGAGATTAACACGCCTCCTCCTGATGTCGAGTAGAATACATTGGAAACAAGGAGGGGCGTGTTGAACTGTTAAAAAGTGACACAAAGAACCACAAAATATGCACGTAGTTACCCGGGATGCAATTTGGTGTCATGGCGTCCGTCAGAGGGGACTTGGTGCACGTGTTGCCGTTGATCACATATTGCATGTGCTGGAATATGAATGTACATAGAGATATAGGTATTAATATGAAACATGATATAAATTGGATGTATGGGCCTGGAATTGCATAGCCACATGCACACAAAAACATTAATCTGTTCAAAGACAAATCTTAATTTATTTTTATTACAAAATAACAGAGTAAAAAGACGAGATTCTGTTCGATGCAACCCCTAAGGGGCTCTCGCTGAAGGAAGTCAGATTCTAATATTAACACACCGAGCTCCCCCTGGCGATGAGTAGAATTGAGTAGAAATTCTGGTGATTATACGAGTACGATGATCGATCCACGTATATCAAAAATTTTATTGGGAATGAGCCCTTGGCCTTTTTTGTCTTGACAATGCTGTGTGTGATTTGAGAGCCCCCTGGTGACCGTTATACGTACTCCTTTGAAATCCTGGATAATCTTCATATTGGCCTGTAGGCCGGCGGAGTAGCTGAGCTTCGAGACAGTTACTTGTCTCATGCCTTTTTTGTCGTAGGAAATGGTAATTGGTCCCTGAAAATACGGTTGTTGTCGAAGTAAAAAATAAAGTTTGTGGGTACAATAACTTAAACACTTGAGACAATCGGAAGGAAAAGCTGAACACTGATTTTCCAAATGAGAAATGGAAGTTAGTTCATGCTTTGCCCTTTTGAGAAACAAATGACCATAAACTACTCAGTTACAAGATTTTACATTTTAAATGTAATTGGGCCAAACGGAAAGCTTCCCTGTACCAAAACTACTACAATTATTAATATTATGTTCACTTCATAACATGTATGAACCATATCAAAATTCGACAGGGTGAATGCCCAAATGCGTTAAGTTCTAGGGATCCGATTCACAGTACCAGAACATCGGGGCATTACCCTTAAAGGACCCAGCGTTACCTGAAAGGTCCCAGCGCTACCTGAAATGCCCTAGCATTACCTGCGAGATCCCAGCGTTACCTGAAAGGCCCCAGCGTTACCTGAAGGTCCCGGCGTTACCTGAAAGCTCCCATCGTTACCTGAGAGGTACCAGCGTTACCTGAAAGGTCCCAGCGTGCCCATCGGAGACGTACGCCCCTATTTCCACCATCTGCCCTTCCCATTGCTCTGGCATACAGCACGATGTGGGAGGCGTGGCTGTGGGGTGGTTTGAAGTCCCTAACACACAGCTGACCGCTACACACAGGAGTAGAACCAGCTTGGTCATAGTGCAGGAATATTGAGATATACAGGGAATATGGGTGTGTGTCTATCTCTGGCAGTTGATCTGTATACTTGTGTGACTTCAGATATGTGTCAGTATGTGTATAAATGAGTGTTGTTTGTTTGTTCAAGTCGCCGACTAAAGTTCAAGTCGCTGAGGTCGGCTAAGATAAGATATTACACACTACACTTGTTTACTAATACGTCAGGGGCGGAATAACCAAATACTCGATGTATTTTTAGGGGAGATAATGAGACAGTACCGTCCCGGGGGACCCTTTTTGTCCGCATGGGAACTTAAATCTAGAGGAGGAGATGGAGCGAGAAGTGGAGAGATACTTGTACATGTAGGTCCGTATGTAACTTTTAGTGTAGTAAAATGTATTCTGTTGAAGTTACAACCTGGAGTCGTTTCATTCTTTTCCATATGCAGAGTTTAAAGCATGGAACCTGGGAATCTCTGTAGCAGTATTACAGATTGCGTTATCCAAAGATGCGAGTCCATTGTGCCCAAACCCTGGGGTTTTATTATGTAGAGTCATTTAATGTTATGTGGGGCCCGGACTAGGTAAAGGGAGGTTCCCCACAACTGGACAAAGCGTAGATATACCCTCTCGCACAGACTAAATGTCGACGTCCGCATACAAGTAAGACAATTTAAGTACCAGGTACGAGTGAGTGTCAACCTCAGTGAATACGCTAAGAATATACTTTTCAGTTAATAAATTTAATAAGGAAGCAACCCAAACTGAAAGGGAAATTAAAGAAAATTATTACAGTAAAAACATAACCCATACTTAATAGAAAGCATAAAATACTATTTTATTGTTGTACATGTACACAATATTGTCTTTACTTTCAATTATTCAAAATTCCATTGTTGAATGTCATATAACATGTACTGCTTCTACTATTAACAAGGCCATTACTGCACTCCCATTTTTATTCTCTGTGATAAGAAAATGAACAAACCCCGATGACAATACTGAAGCCGGTCGGGGTTAACAAATATCTGTCCCTTTTAAATTTTTTTCTGAATATATACTTTCTTTTTTTATATATATGAAAGTAACCAATCAAAATGGAATTGACACCAGACATATTGAAAATGAAGAAAGGCCAAGTCATAAGCAACTGTGCATGGATCGATATTTGTTGCAGATTCTATCCACATGAAAATGGAAATGATTCAATAGGAATAAAATTTATTGATTCACTGCAGTCACCGTGATCTTCAATCAGAAATGTACTGTATCAATTTCAAGGCAGTAACGTGAAGGTGACAGGGGCAGGTCTTGGAGCGTTTTCTATCCAATGACTGGTCCCATTGCAGACGATTTTACCCACGTGATGGTGTGACCTTGACTGGCGTCCAGCTGTAGGTTGGTGATCTTCAGCTCCTGGAATAATATCGCATTGGGGTACAATTATGAGTGAAAATGATTTGTAATGGAACTATATTCAAGAGCCACCTGTTTATAATACTCAAAGAATACGCCCCAATGGATTTTTGGATATCTGTATCAAATAATCCCTGCGTCGCATTTCAAACCTGTTTATCATAGCTGACTATAATACACATGGCAAACACATATTTTGAAATCTTAAATGTTATATAAAACAACTTTGCGTAAATCAAAATAGCAGCACATATATAGAATATATGAAGGATGCTAGGAAACTTGAAATATCGAGCAAGCAGTCGCAGCAATTATTGATGAAGTTGCTGTCGCCTTGAGAGGAGAGACTTTCTTTCAGGGTAACCTTCGAGGCGCCATCACTTCTTCACCACAAGTATTTAACCCCCTAGGTTATTTACCTTTGACGCTTGGTTAAATACGTAGTCGCTATGTTGGTTGCCATTTTGGGTGACGCTGCTGATGCTTGTAGACTTCATACCAAACACCCTAACCGTGTTCAATTTCAGCTGATTCATACTCGGGAAGCCGCCATGGACCACACTGATTGTCAAAGTGTCCTGTTGCAAAATAAGATTGACCAGAAATTGTCATGTGCGGTATATATCCATGAACTTCCACTTACTACTTATCTTATGTACAGAATATCCTATAAAAAAAGTTAACGTTGTAAACACTTTAGTAATATGTGACTGACATTTCATCTTCTCCATAGGGTTATAAATAAATTCTACTTTTTTAATGAGCTTACCGAGGTTACATTGAATGTAGCAAGATGATAGTTTCCATTTTCATAAGTATCTGAAAAATGAGATATTTTGCATGAGTAAAATGGCGACAATTTATTTGTAAGTGATATTGTTAAAATGAAAGTACCACGCTAATGCCTTGCTTTTCTCTTTTTTTTGCTTTTTTCTTCTGATAATTAAGGGATTTTTGTAATAAAGGATTGATCTGTGACTTTGGTTTGTCATTAATTTGTAATGAAATTGTCCATTAAAGATACTGCTTTTTTTCTTTATCAATATCAAATCATATGTATGTTTGCAGCACAGTTTACCAATTGATTCGCCATCGTCCCAAAAGAGGGAGCCACTAGCCTGCTCATTATCATCCAGGGCAGCAATAAGTCCCAGAGGATTTTTGCGGCTACAAAGAAAAAGTTATCAAATGAATCTTATTATTTTAATGCACACCCAAAGTCGTGTTTGCAGTCGACTTGGGCTGGCCTATCCTGGCGCGCTGCTATTGTGTTAACTGACCTGAAACATGACTTTCCTCTTTATAGCCTGGGGTGGGCGGGGAAGGTGGGGGGGGGGGGGGCAAAAATATAAATCATTTATTTCAAGCAAGAAAGACGTTTTTAACGTCAGCTAATGTCAGGGTGTTGCATGAAAAATGAAAATGAAAAAAAACTCACCTAGCCATGGTGGTCCTAGCAGGCTCCTGAGTGGGGAGGATATAACCCCCTCGAACATGGAGCGTGATCGCCCAAATCTGTGCGTCCAGAGTCTTCCAGTCGCCTCTGGTACCCACCTCGGCCCCCTGTGCCAAGAGAGAAGAAGTTAAAAGAATTCATTTTACAAGAATTGGCGGGTGTCTGTTTGATAAAAATCTTAAACTCCAGCATAGATGTCCTGCATGGACCGGATCCGAAGTTCAAAAGTTGAACTTTTAGATCAAAATGTTGAACTACGTCAGTTCAGAATGCATTTAATTCCAATAAAATGACTTTTGGCATTTAAACTGTTTATTTCGTTTTTTATTCATAAAACGAGCAAAATATATCAATTATGTCCACCACGGAAAAAGAAAACGTGGAAGTGTACGGTTGCTTACGTCATAGTAGCTGTACCAACGAGCGTTCGGGAAATACGCATTTACACTTGTGGCGCCCTGAAAAAAAACATAAGCCGAACAGTTAAAGGATTCACAATAAAGATAAACTACATGTAATAATCTCAATGCTTAGGATCCACTGATATAAGTATCTTATATGGTTATTAGAAAACCATTTTGACATTCTTTTTACCTGGTCCAGAACTGGAGAGACGAGGAAGGAAGACCCCCACAAAAATTGGCGGTCTATACCATGTGTGGCTCCGTCTGACGGGAATCTGAAGAACAAATTCTCTCATCAGCAAAACGGTAATTTTTTCATGTCATCTATACATGCATTAACTCTGCTTTACAGATAATAGCTTTCCGTTTGGAAATTTAAAGCAAGTTCCATCATTTAATGAACTGCATCAAGTCGCAATGTCTTATACAAAATGGCTATACAAGTACATGCATATTCTGCTGTCAAATATACGGCTCATTGGACATAAATTTGAGCTTTCAATTTTACAAAAAAAAAAAAGAAAAACAACATACGAACAAACAAACATATCGTTCTAAATAAAGAGTATTTAAACTAACTCGTGGAAAAGCGCTCTGATCACAGTGTCGCCTCTCGTATGGGCCTCGTGAAAAAGCGTGTACAGATACGGAAGTAGTGTGTAGCGCGTGCGCAGTGTGTCGCGGGCGTTCCTTGCAAAGTCGTCGCCCCATGCTGTCGGATCTTGAGGCTTGAAAGGGGACGAGAAAGGATTCTTTCATATCAAATATGTATTTTAAAATGAATATCATACCAGAATTTTTAATTTTGAATCAAACTATTATGAGCAAAAGGAATCCTTAAAAATACATTAGCCAAGATAAGCGCCAAAGTGATGTTTGAATTTAATAATTCAATAAACGATTTATTAAATAAACTATTCTGATTCACTCACAAAAATATTTGTGGTTTATATTTTTACACCGTTGTATTTTTCTATCATGCCAAGGCCATGCGATATAGATATAAAATGGTTACCCTATTTTCGTATCCTAAATTGTGGTTTCTGGAGAACGGATAGAAAGCTCCCACTTGCTGCCACCGCATGCATAACTCGTAATTGCTGTCTCTGATGAATCCACAGATATCAGCGCCGACCTATGTTAAAAGAATGGATAATGAAAAAAGTGTTTGCTGGCACTGTGTTATACTTTACCATGCGACTCTGAATAAAAATAGATTCTGATGTATTTGTTATTGAAAATGTATTTGCTGAAACAGTGTTATACTTTATGTATAAAACTCTATAAGTTATTCCAGACTTCATTTTACGAATGAATAGAAAAGTACTTACAAATGGCATCCCAAATATGTTGAACTCGAGCATACCTGAGAACATGAACGTCAAATCAAGTTACCAAGAAACAGTTTTAAAACATATGCTCATGCAGTTGGAAAGCAAACTGAAACTAAAAACCCTTCATGTCGACATTGTATCTTTAGACCATAGATTATATTAGTAAATTGTAATTGTTAGGCCGTAACTGGTCGGCTGTCTTCTGGTTCTTCCGGAAGACGGTCAGATTTTCAAGTGTACATTGACGGGTATCTAATTTATGCTGTCGGAAGACGTCAAAAATGGAGGATGGATCAAAAAGATAATTTTGAAGACTGTCAGAAAATATCTCTGGACCCGCCCCTGATTACTGAATATATTGTGGACACTTACCAATGATAGAATACCTCAGGTTTGTCCAGTAACTCCAGTTGTCTCCCAACCACGTGGCGGCGAATTTTCCCGCCCCTGGGAACGTCGACCGAGACAAGACGATGCTTCGCTTCCCAGTTGCCTCTCGAGCTGCCCTGTAAGAAAGCGGAACAGCGACTTCTCACACCTGGTGCGAAAGAAGTAGATAGACCAAGAACAGATCTGCGGTGGTGATTTTACGCCCTAGCAATTTTCCATTTTGTACAAATTTCCCTCTATCTCTCTCAAACACACACACACACACTTACCAAGAACTGTTTCATCATTTTTAAGCTAGCCTCAGATTTTACACAAGTATAGACATAAAAATTGATATTTTTTTTGCAGCCCTCTACTCTCCCTCCCTCCCAAACACATACTGTTTCTCGATCTCGTCTTACTTAAAAGTGACAGGTGCTTGACTCCACCCGTACAGGCTATGGACGTCGTAGTGCAGTCCAATATGATGCTTGTGGTCTGGACAGAGGGTTTTATACTGGAGAACGGGGCCCCAGATTTCTGGAATAATACATGGGGACATTAAACTTACATGTACCGTATATGTACAACGATATATAGGAAGACATTTATTCGGCAAGAAAAGTTTACAACAAAGGTGGATAAAATAAATACTCAGTAAAACACTCACTGCCTTTTTTATATATAATATATGATGATATCCACAGAGAGTGCAAACCCTCAGTTAAAGGGATAATAACCCTTCGTGCGATATCTATATTTCACAATAAAAACATTGTGAACAACTCATAGAAATATAATATATTTTGTTTTACCACAAAAACGGCAGTTATAGATATTATTCTGATATCTGAGCTTGTCTTCAGATCACGTGACCTCCATTGATAGCTGTACTCTGATATAATCTCTTAAGAGATTTTAACAAAAACCTAACTTTTTAGAAAAAAAAACAGGGACTAACTTTGAATGTAAAAATGGATTCATTAACCATTGGTAAGTATGGGAAAATTGTTGTTCACTCTAGGAAAATTCATTTTTTGGCCAAAACGAAGAGTTATTATCCCTTTAATTTATAGGCCTAGAAAACCGGCTATATGCATCAGCCTGTATGACACAATAAGCGAGGCTGCGTCATCACGATTGTACATGTACTAAGGCACAAAGTTTTTTCATTTACTAGGGAAGTACGGTGGATTATTGATGTTGTTGCTGGCACAACCGTCTACATCTCCCCACACGAAATTGGCCGGCTCATTCATGTCCTACAAAACAGAAATTCAAATGAAACTGAAATTTAAAAAAAAATTGGAAACTGTAGCGTGCATGCAGAACGAATTGTTGTTTAAGTGACCAAAGCAAGCAATGCAATTCATTTCAATATACACAGAAATGCAAAACTTGCAATAACATAAAATACGGTACGAAACAGTGCAATACAATGCAACGCAACACAACAAAACACAACACAGCACATCAAAAGAAAATACCATATATTGTTAAGATAAAAATACAGGAACCCTGCAAAGGGACACCTACGATCCAGAGCCCGTCATAGTCGATGACATTCTTGAACTCCTTGCACAGTGTCACCCACCAGTCCGTGGTCTCGGGCTTGGTAAAGTCCGGGTAAAATACGTTAGTGGGGGGCCACACCTGAAAAAAAGGAATATGAAGATTTAAAATAAATTAAGACATGTATGTATATTAATTAATTAATAGATAAACAAATTTAACTTTGAACAGAATGAATGAATAAACCAATGTGTGCATTAATGGACTATTTATACATATATAGAATTAAATATATACGCAAGAAGGATGCACACACCAGTAGGCATATTTTGACAACTTAAGCGATTTTTATAGCTACATTGTATTACAATAGTGAAGAGAATGGCATAGGACATTGGAAAAACAGCGTTGCACGACGAAACAACAGAGAAAGTAAAAGTGAAAGTAGACTGACTTTTCCCTCTACGTTCCAGAGTCCATTTGAATCCTTGACCCAAATATCTTTCTTCATGCCGAGGTCGTATGGACGGTAGTTTGGAATATCTTTGGCTATGGCGGGGTCCTGCAACAAAATTTGACTGATATATATAATATATAAAATATAGCGTTATTTATCTGTTAATCAAGACTTTTGCATCATTCCATCGAGGACAAGTAATTGAGACTGGTTCGGTATTCGTATTAGTGTTGGTGAAAACCCCACCAAATCCTTTCAAATGTATTATTCTTCACCTCACTTAGGGGAGGATTGTGAATTCCATAACGGTTTAGGCTTTTTCACTGATTTGCCCAATTTATGGTCAATATCGTAACTGATCTTCTTTTTATATAGTTGAACGTGTCTGCCTAATACTCATGTAGGTCTTATGAGATATACACTGTGTCTGTAACCTTGTCGTCTGGAAAAGGTCTAAATGTTAAGGTTTATAATTAAAGCTGAGAAAAAAATAACTTCAAGAACTGATATTTCGTCTTCTTTTACGACACGTCTTTAGGACAGGCTTACCAAAATGATGATGAATTTCGTTCCATCGTTCTTCAGTTGTTTTACGTAGTCGGGTAGTCCCGGATACGTGGTCGTACTGTAGGTGAAGTCTAGCGCCCGATCCATGTAGTCAATGTCGCCGAACTGGTAATCCTGAGAATAAAATTGTCATTATGCACAACTCATGATTTAAAAAAAAAAATTCAATTGAAAATGCACATCATTACAGGTATATTTAGTAGCATTTTTGTGTGTGTGCTCGCCTTATTCTGTACGTCAAATATTAATTATGATTAAATTGTGTGCCTGAAGTAATTACATGTACTAGTAACAAGTATGTTTAAATGAGGCGAAAAGGATGACATCCAATGTATTACACAGTTGTCAGGTAAAATGTGTGGATCCGCGATATATATAATATAACTACTGTATATATCAAGTATACGAACATGCGGGATGTCCTTTTCCTTCATCTTTGACACGACGTTCTTCATGTTTTGAATGTTGTCGTAACCATAGTTACCCAGACTGAAACCTAGCGACCAGTAGGGGGGCATGAACGGTCTACCAATGGCCTGCAAGAGGGAGTCCATATTTGGATTACACAGATATTCGCAATCTGTATTACAGTAAATTTACTTACTGTTACAATCGTTATCAATTGTTAAGCAACCAAGTGTGACTAAAATGAAAACTGCAAATTGAGTAAACTGATTGCATTGATGAGTGTGCTGTATATAATTACACTTCCTGTACAGATATATAAAAAAATCATATACTCTGTCGAACAGTTGTAAATATTACAATACCACATTTCGAAAATTTTATTTAAACAGTTGAAAAACGTTGCAAAATCACATTGCTTCTGCAAAAAATCCTTTCTTGGTCCGTGCATTTATAACAGAAGAAACCCTTTGCGCTTTTTAATTTGCTTCTGCTGATCACTTACCTCAGTATATTGCTGAACCACGTTTTCTGGGGTTGGGCCAAGAAAGAAATACAGGTCTAGTACGCCACCTATCGTTCTGTATGTCAGAGCAGGAGCAGGGGACAGCGTCACATCTAAATACAAGAATATTGTTTATTAACATTTTATATCTTCATGAAATACATAAATCCACGTTTAACTTAAAATAATCAAGAGTTCACGGCTGTGCAGAGAACCTGAACAAACATGACAGAAAGCAAAATAATTTTAGAGACAACAGTGAAACTGTGAAAGGGAACATGTGCCCATTCCCATTAATTAGAATGGAAATCCCATTCATTAAAAAATAGCGCAATTCATGTTTTCGTAATATATACATGTAGTATTTTTAAGAGTTCTAGTTCTGGATGCGTATCGTAAAAGAAGACGAAATATCAGTTCTTAAAGTTATTTTTGAGGAGATTTAGATAATTTTACTGTAACCCGTGAAAGAAATGGAAGTCCCCAGGGCCTACTCTACCTTGTGCATTGGAGTTGAGGAAAAGAACGCCGTGTGCCTTGCCGTTGTCTTCTAAACCCATGTAGAAGGGGTGCACGCCATAAAGGTTTGCCCCGCCGTCCTGCAATGACGACAGTGATCGTGAAATGATGCAAAACAACGTGTTTTTAACAATTCAGTAAGTGTAAAGGGAAGTCGGCCGGTTTCCCTTTCCCTTACATTATGCCAATTACTTTATTTTTTCTCTCAATTTCTTGTTTGCTTGCTTCTTTACTTCTACGATAAAAAATAACTCCAGTGAAGAGTGAAATACTGATAATTATTTTGAGGGTCAATTAAGAGTACACTTTTTCCAGACCCCCCCCCCCTTCAAAAAGCACAAAATGAAAAGCTAAAATGACTACCTAAAACAGCAATTTCGAATCACTTTTTTATTATTTTATGGTAAGGCGACTATTTGAAAAAAAGCAAATGTCACGACTGACCATTGGAGGTTGATCACGCGTGAACATTCCCCAAGTCTGCCAGTTCATATTGTGCTTGTAGGAGTAATGTTGGTGCATTCCAAAACCATAAACGTTACTACTAGGTAACTTGGTGGCTATCTGGAGGAATTGGTCTTCTAGAAGTAAACCTCCGATCGAAGTATCAAATCTGAAAATTAAAAAAAAAAAGTCAGAAGTATAGGATGACAGTGGTAATGCTTCAAATAGTTTGTCAGATTATTTTTTATTTTATCCCGATGGAGATGTCACTACAAAATTGATTCAAAACATCATTTTATTCACACTAGTGGTGTTGAATTTTTTTGTTTTGGCATTAGATACCAAAGCGGTGGTCTTTAGAAAAAAATACGGATCACATACTGTTCAAGGATGAATATACTGATACAGTAACAGCGTCAATAATCGTAACAAAAATGTCAACTTTTCGTTAATTGAAAGTGGATTTTAATTTTAAATCTTGGAAAGGCGCGTTCACTTTCCCTTCTACTGTACAAACAACATTCATCATGATAATAATATCATACTTTAATAAAAGAGTATAACTAAATGAAATATATAAAGACAAAAAATAGCAATGAATTATATCATTCGTTCAAAAAATAAAGACGATAAATTAATGGATGAATAAGAATAAAGAAAAATAACATTGAAAATAAGGTTGTAGTTTTCGCATTCACTTCTAGCAGACGATACAAACTACGCATGCGCACTTACACAGCCACTCCCGTATCTTTCCGGACGACCTTGAAGGTAAACACAGGACTTGTGCTGATCTGGACGTCATATATTGGGTTGGGGGCCTTCGCGTTTGGAGAGGTGATGTTCAGGGGAACCTCAAATCTCGATGGATCGTTGGCGTCCGTAAGCTGCGTTGTACAAAGTACACTTACAAAGATGCCAATTAAGTAAATCTTATCTTGTGTCATAAAAAGTAATTAAGTGCAATTATATTCTCTAAGCTGAGCCCCTGTGCGAGTGGTTTATAACCATTAGGTTCATATATACTGGGATATGTCACCGTATGTCACTTCAAACAAAGAAGAATAGATTACATATAAATCCTGAGGCCTCAATTTTTTCTAAGGCTTCTTGTGACATCATTATAGGTTTTAGTGGATCAAAGACTTTATAAGAACCACGACGTGTATTACCTTAACCCGGACCCTTCCATTAGTCTGAAACTCAATATCTACAATGACGTCAGCAATTTCTTTTGCAAACAAGGTCAAGGTTGTGTCACGTTTCAAGGTCAAGCGGCGACCTTTAGTCGTCTGCTCATCTTTTACCACAGCGTATCCTTTCTCTCTTGGGAAGAAGCACCATGGGGCACCGGAAGTCCCCGTGGGACGATAGCGGCATCCCCGAGCGACGCACTGGCGCGGATCCAACGTTCCCTCTGTAACAGACTCTCCGGTTGGTAGTTTTACTATAATATAGGATTAATGACAAGCATGCAGAAATGTTTTCCCAAACCCTAAAGGAATAGTCTCGTTATGGCATGGAAATAGTGTTAAGATGATACATAGTGCAAAGAAGGAGGAGAAAGGCAATGAGATTAGATCTGCTCAGGAATAGAAGTTTAACGGCATAAAGGAATTAGGCCTATTAAGATTATCATATAGTATTGTAAATAAGGAAGAGAATGAATGGAAGTGAGGAAAATACCAACAAAATTCTAACCCAAAATTGGCAAAAGTGTCACAAATCGCCATCTAGTTGCTTTAAATGTACACTGCAGTTCATAAGATACACATATTGGTACGTAAACGCATGCATCCATACTGATAGATACACTTTACAACATTTAGGCACTGAAATGAAAGCATTCATAGCTAAAGAATGAGCATAAATGCATTTATCATTCTATTGATATCTAAAACGATCGTTTTATTAAAACGTTAATGAGGGAACAGAATTTCACTCACTGAGATCTGGGAAGCAGTCCACGCGTTCATTAGCATCAAAGTTGTCGGCTGGCCAGTCACGTGAGTCGAGGAAGCACCAGGGGGTGTTCGGGCGCGAACTAGAACACCAAAAACACCCCTTACTGACGCAGTTGTCCTTGTTAGCGGTACCCAGGTATGTTGGGAAACAGTCAATGCGTTGGTCGTCTGCTATTTTTGAAGGACAGGTGTCACCTCCTGGCCTCTTGCTGCCACTGGGATAAAAGCACCAGGGAATACCATTCTGGTTGGTCTGTAATGAAAATGATATAGATTTTCATTTACCCTACCAAAACTAACGACTCTTTTCACAGATATTACAGCTCTTTTGAAGAATTTTGAGGAATTTTCTTAAGCTGATTAAAAAAAATGCTGATTGACTTTTGCCATAAAAAACAATCAACAATAATTTGCTACACATTTGAAACAAGCTGTTTTTAAAAACATCGAGTTTTGAAATGATATCTATATAAATGTAAACCGTCAATATGCAACATTTTATTATATCATTATAGGCCTACTTTAAAATGTCATCATCATAAAAATAAGTCTCAATCAACTGACAAGTGAAATACATTTTAACATGTCATCTAATGCACATTCAATGCCAAGTTAAACCTACAATCAAACACTCACGGTAGTATCAATTTCCTCACAATTATCGTAGAATCCTGTTCCGATAGAAAAACATCTCCTGGTGCACGTGTTAATAGCTAGTAAATTTGTACGCAACCAAGGAAAACTGTTCATCAGTATGGTTACAGTAAATGATATAAATCCGTCTGATGCCAGAGAACCTTCTTCATCTTTTTTTATCCACATTCAAGGCCAAATAAATAATTTACGGATGGATTGATCCACACAGCAGTTTACCTTCTAAGATAAAAATATTGATTTTAAACCAACCTTGGGGTCCGTTTGAATTCAGGTCCAGAGTTAACTGTGTTTTAGAAACAGAGATGAGTTAAATTTTTGTATTACATCCGTATGTATGCGGTTTAGTTTAAGTTTATATGACAACAGAGACACCCCCTGTTGTTTATGTTACAGCAGCATCACTAGCATACGGTTGTACCCAAAAAAGAGAACCGAAAACCAACGAAAAAACAAAACAGAAAGAAAGTAATTAATTAATTAATTAATTAATTAATTAGTGCAAGAGACAATTATAACACACAGAGCTATGCACAGGGACACTTGTACTAATAAAAAAAATGTTCGGAGAATGAGAAATTTTTAAGACCAACAAATGCGACGAGCTACATGTTGTGCAGTAAAATAAGGGGGCCATCCTTACATACACACCGCGTTATGAGACCAAACAAACCGTAAGGAGTAAGTTCCCAACACCAAAGATCGGTAGCTCAGCACTAAATTAACCTAGTGCGCTAAACCACACCGTCATGACTTGGCATATTTAACAACATAATACACCGACTGTAATATGCCTGCAACCTTGACAATCCCACGTTATTTCTCATGGACTTTCACTGATAGATACATGTCCTGCTCCAGCCTTTTACTAGATAAGGATAAAAGCCAGGTCCGTCAGTCCATAGAATGTTTACTTACAAATAATTAAATACTGCATATATACTCTCCTCCGCTGTTGCTAGTTAAGGATATATGATCCAGTCCTCATGAGGATTCATATATATAGTTATAATTTCCAATATATCTCCTCTCCTTCAGTGTTCATATATTAGCTTACCTGGCAAAAGGTGCATCCCTTATTAGTACACCTGTCATAGGTGTTGTAGGCTTCAGGGTGGCAATCCTCGCGCTGATCTAGTGGTAAAGAGTTGGAGCACGTGGCGGACTCCAGGGAGACGCTCTCGTGGAAGCACCATGGTACACCTACAGATTTATATAAAATGTATGCACAGGTATATGGAAGTTTCACGTTATTATTAAAGACAGTGGCAATTATTAGTAAAAATTATCCACTTCCTTCTTTTTTATTTTTTTCTCTCTTTCTCTTTTAAGTAAAACAACAAAGAAAACTGGAATTGCAGAAGGCAGTAAAATGTGCTGGTACCCTTGTCAAACAGCACCGTCAACATTAAAGGGATAATAACTCTTTGTATGAGATCTATATTTCACAATAAAAACATTGTGAATAACTCATAGAAATATAATATATTCTGTTTTACCACAAAAACGGCAGTTATAGCTATAATTATGATATCTGAGTTTGTCTTTAGACCACGTGACCTCCATTGATGGCTATACTCTGTTAAAATCTCTTAAGGAAGATTTTAACAAAAAACCAAACTTTTTAGAAAAAAAAAAAAAACAGGGACTGACTTTGAATGTAAAAATGGATTCATGAACCATTGGTAAGTATGGGAAAATTGTTGTTTACTCCAGGAAAATTCATTTTTTGGCCGAAACGAAGAGTTATTGTCCCTTTAAACTAAAGAACAAGTAATATGGATATATACATATACATATTGCGTGAGCCCCTACCTGAAACACTACTTTCACACCAGGTACAGCCTCTTGCCTGACACTTCTCCTTGCTGCTGTCGCTTCCTGGATAACAATCTGTCCGCTGCAGTACAGGAACGGATGACGTGCAAGAATAGTCCGCGGACAGCCTGCCGAACACGGCCAGAAAGAGGACCAGAGCAAATCCTGCTGTCCCGCTCATCGCTGCCAGATATCTACTACGTATGCCCTTCCTATATGTAATATATCTGGTTATTTGAGATGGGTCAACACTAAAGGCGTGATTAACCACGAAGGGCAACAGACAGTGATAGTGCGTCTAGGGGTGGCTGTTATATATATGTACCCTGTATCTAAGGGCAAATGTATTTAATCTTTCTTAGTACGTCATGTGCACATGTCTCTGAGGTTATTTTATCTTCAACATTTTTCGTCACCACCATTATAAAAATTATCTGCCGCTCCATAAACATGACAATTACCTAAATCGTATTAGCATGCGTTTATGTAATGAAAGCTGCGCTTGTCAAAGGTCATTTGAAAGTCAACTGATCCCGTCCATAATATAGCGTATTAGCCAACTAGGCTTTGCATACTTAAGGAATTTATTCGGCTTTAAATGCATGCATTTGGTCAATTTCTAGCCGCATAAGTTCTGTTAGATATAAAGGACACCTTACTGTTTATTGACTATAGCTGTGGACAGTAACAGATAGATTGCAAGTGAAAATGCCCTATGGATAAATTGAATCGATTCTGGAAATATGTATACAGGTACAAGATTTGGATTAAAAACTTCGATTACATGATAATAAAGTGCTTAGTTGTGTACAGGTAACGATTTCGAACGTATCAATCCCATAACTTATTACATATTTTTCTAGCTTCGCTTGTGATGTTGGTTTGTAGACCCGGACTTGCACGCCTAGATAATTTGCGGAAAGCGGAAATGGAGATGGAATAAGTAATGTGTGTGGTTTTTCAAAAGCCATTATCATAACTTGATGTTCAAACTAGGCTTGGCGTTGAATACATGCCGTTGCTTGCCATATATACTGTATGCCGGATGTCGTCATGTACTAGTCACAAATGTTCATTCTGACATAGGTTCGGCGTGTAAAACTAATCATATCAATTATTATTATAATTATTATTATTATTATTATTATTATTATTATTATTATTTACATATATGTGGAATTATACTAGTCCTAAACTTTTTTCGTCTCAAATAAATACATGTCTGTGATAGTTATCTTATGAAAAATACACGTATAGTTAATGGGTTTTACAAGTCTATGTGGTCCACGAAGTCCTCCCAACAAAATTTGTCTTTGTCATCAAAACAACCAACAATAGTCAGAATTTACTTATATAAAAAAGGGAAAGGAAATTGCCTGTTTTCATGTTGAAGTGATTACCAGTCGAATGATGAGCAATCATAATTTTGTCCATAATTCACACAAATAGCGCAACAAGTGAATTCTACATTGCTTCGCAGAAGAAAATAATTCTATTCGAATTTGCTCTGCTAAAACGGATATAAGCTATTCTACAGAAAATTGGAGATTTTAACTACGTCACCCGTGCACACATTTTGTGTTATATTTGCACTTCTGCTGTACATCACTTTCAAATAACCGCTGAATTATTTCCATGTTGGAGGGTACAAGAGTATAAAACAGAGAAACGCTGGAATAAATTATGATTAAAAATACATTGCACTGAGGGTGTCACTAGTGTCAACTTATTTTCTTGTAGCATGGTCACTATAATAGCACTACTATGTATACTGTGTTGCAAGACACTGTCCAGGAGATTGGTGGCAAAACACATCATAGTCAAAACGAACCGCAATTGATACCAGAAGTGGGGTTTCGAACCCACGAGGACATACGTCCATTGGATCTTAAGTCCAACGCCTTAACCACTCGGCCATCCTGGTAATATATATATTATGCATTGTTGTAGAAGAGACGATCCTTATCTAAAAATGATGGAATGATTTAGATCAATGTTTTAACATATTAAAATATGTTTTGTAAATGTAATAAAGAAGAAGGATGTAATAATTCTCGTTCCAATTCAGATGCCTACTTCTACCTCCCCAATTCTACGCTGCAAATATGTATGCAGATATGCGTATACGAATGTTTGAATTAAAACCTTTTTTATTTTCAGATACTAAAACATCTACCCTTGTGAACACGCCTAGAGAATATTTATCCAAAATAGGATCATCACGTTGTTTTCGGAGTTAACTATCAGAAGACGCTTGAAAACCATCGTTAATTTGGCTGTATCACCACCTGGAACTGTGTTTGTCGACTCAGATGGTGTACCAAAATCATGGGCACCAACCAAAAACTGGACAATATAAATGTTATCAGAAGAGAGTTCACCTCTGTAAGATGTAATGGACATGTAAAAACTAAGGCTTGGGGAACAGCTAGCGGGAAATATCTTCCAAATCATTGGGGTATATGTCACTGACCGACAGGACGCTCCACATATCAGTCATGGCGTTTGCAATATTGTGATGGTCAACTGTACCCTTGATCCATGAGTCACACGGCTAGGTACGGGTATGGAACTTGAGAAATTATGGCGAACATGTATTTGGAGACATCGAACTCTCAGTAATATTCCAGCATGATAGTGCTATTCCACATAGAGCCAATAAAAGAACCTGTTGCATGCGAACCAAATCCAGACCTCTACATGATGGTTCCATTGGCTCCGTGGCCTAATGGATAAGGCGTCTGACTTCGGATCAGAAGATTGAGGGTTCGAGTCCCTTCGGAGTCGTGATAAGCTTTTATTGATAGATTGTATGAAAGTGGATTTTAAGGTCGTCTTCATAATTTGAAAATTTTTCGTCCAGCCAGTTATACAAGATCATTACCAGCCGTTGGACTTCCGATTAGGTTATTGCCCAAATGACAAAATAAGCTGTGGAGACATTTACAAAAACAATCCATACGAAAATAATCGTAGAATCAGATTCTGTGATCTTATGGATGAGGCGTCTCTGATCAGAAAATTAAAGTCGTCCAGCTTTAGAATGTTTCCAAAAACAAAAAAACTCGTACTCATCGAATATCTCTGAAGCACATAAGGTGGTATGTAAATTGGCGTAAGATTCCGAAACAAAAAGTACTTAGTTCATGGTCTCAGACGCAATTCTATGAATAATGAAGATATCATCAATGGCATGGTTGACAAATCGGGTTCGAACTACAATCCTGTGCTAGCGTTGGGTTTATTTTCTATAAGATATTAACAAATTACATTAAGTTATCGATATGATATTAACTCATGCAATTTAAATGAATAAAATGATCAAAAAACATTTACTGACCTTAGATAATTAAAATAAGAAATAACTTATATACCTCTGTTTTAAAGGCGAGTTAATTTTCTTTTTTTTTTTTTTCACGTTGGCAATTTAACGGTTCGAGTCCCTTCGAAGAATTCCCTGTCATCAATTAAGGACTCCGCGGCCTAATGGATAAGGCGTCTGACTTCGGATCAGAAGATTGAGGGTTCGAGTCCCTTCGGAGTCGTTACTTCTGTACCTTTTACTGAAGATTTGTGTCTAGGTTCAACTTCTAGGTCGTCTGGAGAATTTGGTCCCGCTGGTTTCAAGTACAAAAGACAATTACTTGCAGATGGGCTTCTTTCCACTTCATACAGGGTATGACAAAAACTACTGCTTGTTGATGATGGAACTAACACGTGGAGAATGGGACATTTCGAAGAACAATTGTTTAGCCTTTTGGTAAACATATCAATTAGAACACACAGACCACTTATATCATGTTTCCATCGATGTCTGACGATAGTGATGGTTATCACTTTTATATTATGTAATTCATTTTACTAAAACTGGACAGATGCAAATGTTATTGACAATAAGGTAGCATCTACACACAAAATCGGTTTATTCATGTACAATGTAAAAGAGATGATGAACATCAGCTTAACCGAGTCTAAGAAACCTCCATGAGAGTTTATAACAAAAATAAAACACTAGTGAAATCGTTGTACACTAATGTACTTCCGTATAGTTTTTTGCATGGTCTTTCTCCAAAGACCTCAGTAGGTCCAACTTCAATCTAATCCTATCAATTTCTCGTTTTTCATATGCGACGGTTTTGAAATATGCCACATATAGGACCACTGTGCCAATCAAAATGGACCCGATGATGACACCTAGCACTACCTCTTGCAGTTTCAACCGTTCCATTTGCTTTTCAATATCATGTTTTCCACCATCCTCGTTTGGGTTCCGCTCATCGTCACCTTGAAAAGAAAAACTCATATGTGTTACATTTGTAGAGATAGAAAATATTGTATCTGAATTACTTCATATATCCATTTTAGTTTGATCACGTACTCCGTGTTATACAGTATATACTGTACATTATCATCAATGTTCTTACGCATATTTAAATATATTGCCATATATAATATCTCATCAACATGGTATTTCGTTTTCTCGATTTTTTATTCTATGAAATGCGAGCATTCAGAAAGTTGCAAGGGCCAAGTTTCAATATCTTACGTCAATTTTGTTTGAATACATGCATACACAGTGTATCGCAAAGTGATAATGTTAAGAAATACAGAGAGACGAACAGGTCATCATAATGGTATTTCGTACGCAGATGGAACAAAAAAAATCCACGTTTCTCCACAGTTTCACAGTTCTTCGCAATTCTTACCTTTAAACAACTGGAAAAACGGAACATTTCCACCACTGGATAATACAGAGAACCCGCTCGAAGCGAGGACAGCTTGACGGGGATTATCAAACGGGAAGAAGGTAGTGGCCTGAGATAGTCTTCTTACTGCCATTGTTGTGGGAAAAGTCGTAGGTCTAGTAGTCATCATGGCCAAAAATCGTAGAAAAGGATTACGTTGGAATATATCAAAGGACGACTGCGTGGTTGCCCTTATTGTATTGAGGGGCACAACATCCGGTCTGGCAGGTGTGGCAAAGCTGTTAAGATTGGGTCTAAATTGCCCTGGAGTTGGCTGTAATGGTCGTCTAGGCAGTAACATGATGAAACGTTGAGACATCCCTTTTTCTCCTTTCATTCCTACCACGGGGAGGCCTTTTTGTCCCGGTTGTCCTTTCATCCCTAGGTCACCAATAGATCCTGCTGATCCGGGTTGGCCAGGGATTCCTTGTGCGCCTTGGATACCTTTATTGCCTTTTACTGAGTCTCCTGGTGGACCTTGATCTCCAACGATACCTTTATTTGTAAAATATTATAAGTAAGTCAGGGTCTTACCACTATGCCGAGGACACAGGAGTTAGTTCGATGTTCAAGTCATGC